GCTGAAGGATTCTTGAGTTACAGATTTTTCAATTAATTCTGAATTATTTTGAATTTATCCAGAAGGGTTCATTTGCATATGGCAGCCATGTTGTATGGAAAACTTAAAATGTTTTTGATAATTTTTGACCAGGACACTCTTCTGAATTTTTTGACGCCAAACTGATGAGGATCGGGTGAAAATTGTAGGACTAGTTCGCAAAAGTAGGTTTCGCACATTTTGCAATATTGCGAAAAATCTAAGTGGGCGGAGCTAAATAATCAAAATAGCCAAATGGTTTATTTGGACCCATAGAATCAGGAAAAAAATATGGCTAGTCTGGCAAAAATCAGGTTTAGGAGATATAGAACCAAACGCGTTGGTCTGCGCTGTAGCGCCCCCTTGTGGCCGACAGGGCTGATTCCTTGCGCCTGAGTAGCGGGAGGGACTACTACCAGTAGACCAAGTTTGGTGTCTCTAGGACTTACGGTTTGCGCTGTGCGTTCCGTTTCAGGGCGGAAAAAGAATAATAATAATAAGAAGAAGAAAAATCCGCACAATTCCAATAGGGTTCAATGCATTGCATGCTTGAACCCTAAATATAGCCGCGAGCGGCAATGAGCGGGTTCAAGCACGCAACAGCAGTACGGGCCCTCCTGCAGGTTTAGCCCGTTAGGCCTAAAAAGGCCTCAAGCTTCTGGTTTAGGCCATTAGGCCTAAAAAGGCCTCAAGCTTTTGGTTTCGCCCATTAGGCCTAAAAAGGCCTCAAGCCTTTTATTATAATAGGCCTAAATAGGCCTCAAGCCTTTGTATAGTAAGTCTTTGTATAGTGAAATCTTTGAATGAATAAGCCAAAATAAAAGACAAGCAGTGCAATTTTTGACATAACATGTAATTAGAAAGTTGTTCATCTTAGTAGACTGAGTCACATGACACCATTTGTTTATATGTGGGCCTTGTAATAACATTGTAATAGCATTTTTATTGATTTTTCAGTGTTTTTGAGTGCTGAAGGACCCCCAAAGGCCAATCTGGACCAAACTTGGCATACTCCATTAGAATCTCAATTTGTATAAATACTCAAAGTTTGAACATGATCTGACCAATGACTGTTGAGTTATAGCTAACCAAGCTAACAATGCCACGTATGCAGGAATTTGGTGATTAATTCACATGACCCTGAGTAGAAAAGTCAAAATGTTTTTGATAATTATTTACCTAGAGATGCCAAAGAATTGTTCTAGACCAATTTTGAAAAGATTGGATCAAAATCCAGAGACTAGTTCAAAAAGTAGGGTTTTGAAACATTTATCTATTACAAAAAAACTATACAGATGTTTAATGAACATGTATTTGCAAAATTGTTTGTCACATGGTAGTACAATAGGTTGTAGGCGAAAATTGTAATAATATTGTAATAACATGTAATAATGTGTAATTTTTTGAAATAGCGCCCCGGAGGGGTCAAATCTTTTGAAACTCAACTGGTTGTTAGAAAGTGGGTACATATAGACATCAGTCAAGTTTCGTCTTGATTGGTCAATGTTAAGCCTGTCAAATGGCCTACTGAATGCTTATTGGCCGATGGCGACCACAAATTTCGATGCATCCAAATGTCCTTAAATGCACACTTGTAGAATGTCGAGAGGATGCTGCATGCCAAGTTTCAGCTTGATAGGATGTACAGAGGCAGAGAAAATGCCCTGTTTTTATTGCTCCGCCCCCTAATTACATATGCACACAAAAATCGATTGGCTACCTCAGAATAGGCTACTGACATGGCCTGTGAAGTTTGAAATTTTTTGGCTGAAGGATTCTTGAGTTACAGATTTTTCAATTAATTCTGAATTATTTTGAATTTATCCAGAAGGGTTCATTTGCATATGGCAGCCATGTTGTATGGAAAACTTGAAATGTTTTTGATGATTATTGACCTTGAGGCCCTTCTGAATTTTTTGACACCAAATGAATGAGGATTGGTCAAAAATTGTAGGACTAGTTCGCAAAAGTAGGTTTTGCATATTTCGCAGTATTGCGAAAAATCTAAGTGGGCGGAGCTAAATAATCAAAATAGCCAAAAGGTTTGTTTGGACCCATAGAATCAGGAAAAAAATATGGCTTGTCTGGCAAAAATCTGGTTTAGGAGATATAGACCCAAACGCGTTGACCTGCGCTGTAGCGCCCCCTTGTGGCCGACTGGGCTGATTTCTTGCGCCTGAGTAGCGGGAGGGACTACTACCTATTGACTAAGTTTGGTGTCTCTAGGACTTACGGTTTGGGCTGTGCGTTCCGTTTCAGGGAAGAAACAGAATAATAATAATAATAAATATAGCCGCAAGCGGCAATGAGCGGGTTCAAGCACGCAACAGCAGTACGGGACCTTCTGCAGGTTTAGCCCATTAGGCCTAAAAATGGCCTCAAGCTTCTGGTTTAGGCCATTAGGCCTAAAAAGGCCTCAAGCTTTTGGTTTCGCCCATTAGGCCTAAAAAGGCCTCAAGCCTTTTATTATATTAGGCCTAAACAGGCCTCAAGCCTTTGTATAGTAAGTCTTTGTATAGTGAAATCTTTGAATGAATAAGCCAAAATAAAAGACAAGCAGTGCAATTTTTGACATAACATGTAATTAGAAAGTTGTTCATCTTAGTAGACTGAGTCACATGACACCATTTGTTTATATGTGGGCCTTGTAATAACATTGTAATAGCATTTTTATTGATTTTTCAGTGTTTTTGAGTGCTGAAGGACCCCCAAAGGCCAATCTGGACCAAACTTGGCATACTCCATTAGAATCTCAATTTGTATAAATACTCAAAGTTTGAACATGATCTGACCAATGACTGTTGAGTTATAGCTAACCAAGCTAACAATGCCACGTATGCAGGAATTTGGTGATTAATTCACATGACCCTGAGTAGAAAAGTCAAAATGTTTTTGATAATTATTTACCTAGAGATGCCAAAGAATTGTTCTAGACCAACGTTGACAAGATTGGATCAAAATCCAGAGACTAGTTCGAAAAGTAGGGTTTTCAAACATTTATCGATTACAAAAAAACGATACAGATTTTTAATAAACATGTATAGGCACAATTGTTTGTCACACTGTATTATAATAGGCTGTAGGTGGAAATTGTAATAATATTGTAATAACATGTAATAATATGTAAATTTTTGAAATTGCGCCCCCCAGTGGTCAAATCTTTTGAAACTCGACTGGTTGTTAGAAACTGGGTACATATAGACACCAGTCAAGTTTCGTCATGATTGGTCAATGTTAAGCCTGTCAGATGGCCTGCTGAATGCTTATTGGCCGATGGCGACCACAAATTTCGATGTATTCAATTGTCCTTCAATGCACACTTGTAGACTGGGGAGAGAATGCTGGATGCAAAGTTTCAGCTTGATGGGATGTTCAGAGGCAGAGAAAATGCCCTGTTTTTGTTGCTCCGCCCCCTAATTACTTATGCGCACAAAAATCGAATGGCTACCTCAGAATGGGCTACTGACATGGCCTGTGAAGTTTGAAATTTTTTGACTGAAGGATTCTTGAGTTAGAGATTTTTAAATTAATTCTGAATTATTTTGAATTTATCCAGAAGGGTTCATTTGCATATGACAGCCATGTTGTACGGAAAACTTGAAATGTTTTTGATAATTATTGACCAGGACACTCTTCTGAATTTTTTGACACCAAACACATGAGGATTGGGCAAAGATTGGAGGACTAGTACACAAAAGTAGGTTTCGCACATTTTGCAGTATTGCGAAAAATCTAAGTGGGCGGAGCTAAATAATCAAAATAGCCAAAAGGTTTATTTGGACCCATAGAACCAGGAAAAAAAATATGGCTTGTCTGGCAAAAATCTAGTTTAGGAGATATAGACCCTAACGCGTTGGCCTTCGCTGTAGCGCCCCCTTGTGGCCGACAGGGCTGGTTTCTTGCGCCTGAGTAGCGGGAGGGACTACTACCTATTGACCAAGTTTGGTGTCTCTAGGACTTATGGTTTGGGCTGTGCGTTCCGTTTCAGGGCAGAAAAATAATAATAATAATAAGAAGAAAAATTCTCACAATTCCAATAGGGTTCAATGCATTGCATGCTTGAACCCTAATAAGAAAAATCCTCACAATTCCAATAGGGTTCAATGCATTGCATGCTTGAACCCTAATAATAAGAAAAATCCGCACAATTCCAATAGGGTTCGATGCATTGCATGCTTGAACCCTAATAATAATAATAAGAAGAAGAAAAATCCGCACAATTCCAATAGGGTTCTACGCACTTCGTGCTTGAACCCTAATAATAATAATAATAAGAAGAAGAAAAATCCGCACAATTCCAATAGGGTTCTACGCACTTCGTGCTTGAACCCTAATAATAAGAAAAATCTTGACAATTTCAATAGGGTTCAATGCATTGCATGCTTGAACCCTAATAATAATAATAAGAAGAAAAATCCTCACAATTCCAATAGGGTTCAATGCATTGCATGCTTGAACCCTAATAATAATAATAAGAAAAATCCTCACAATTCCAATAGGGTCCAATGCATTGCATGCTTGAACCCTAATAAGAAAAATCCGCACAATTCCAATAGGGTTCAATGCATTGCATGCTTGAACCCTAATAAGAAAAACTCTAACAAAAACAATAGGGTCCTACGCACTTGCGTGCTTGGACCCTAATAAACTTACAACTGCAATGATTCAGTGTTTTACAAACTGCACTGCACTAAATCTGTTTAAACAGGCCTTCTTGTGTTCACTTTGCATTGAAATGTAGTTAGTTTTTTAAATACTGATATCCATAATCCATAATACTGATAATATCCAATATCCATCACGAAAACCATAGAATATCATCATATTACTCACCCTTAATTGAACTCTAAACACGGTCAGGCCTCTATACAGGGGTCTTACCATAACATCCACAGGCAAGCCAACAGACGAATGCACACACACAAAGCCTCGTCCATGCTTTTACTGATATATACAGAGATCTGTCTCTTTTTTACTTTTAGCCTGTAAGTCAGTGTCAGACACCAAGACCATGGTTCCTGTGGTGAAGCAGCAAGTCTTCCTGCGCAGTATGTCTGCTCCCTCTGATCTGGAAATGATTGCAAACCAAGACCTGGAGTTCACACATGGAACTCAGAGGTGAGATGCCAAAATTACAAATAATTAAATGTATAATTCTGAGACAGATGCATAGTTCCCTGATATATACAAATTACATTTGTGTATGAATATAAGACAAATGTTGGTATGACTAGCTAAAGGAACAAAAATGCAGTTTCTTGCACTTCCCTATACAATGTACCCTTTCCTATAGAAGGCGTCATCACCCCACCAGTCACAGAAGCACCTCTTTTACATTGCTGCAATCTTTGGCCATTGAAGACAGCAGAGACAAACCAACCTACAGTGTCCTGCTGGGACAGCTCTTTGCTTTCATAGGCACTACACCTGACCAGGCAGTGAGTATACTGATGACATTTTTGTCTAGACATGCAGTAAAGTAATGCTTAATTCAGGTATATATTTTGAAATTCTCTTGGCGGTGCCCTCTGAGCACTCATATTGGATTTATCTGGGCAGTATTCCAGAAAGGAGAGTCTATTAGAAAAGCTGACTAACTTTAGCCTAAAGTAAGGCTTTTCCCTGACCTCCCCCTCATTTGGACAGGACTTGATATTTGCCTTCATGTTTGGCTGTGTTTTAGTGTCAGAAGTTGTTGTGTCATGCCAGAGATTTGAAAATGAAAAAAAAAGTGTAAAAGCCATTACAGAGAATAAAATGAGGGGAAAATGTACCACCGATGTTTGGCCATGTTTTAAGCTAAAAGAGCACTCAGCTCCCAAGAATCACCTTGGCCTATACACTCTCATTCACTAGCTCAACCCCTTTAAACTCCTGAACAGAAATGGTTGATGCAACCAGGCCAGGAATACAGAACTAGCAATAGCAGTAGCAGACAATATATTTTTGGATATGGCAGTCTAGCAATGCATTTACAGTTATTTATAGCAGCCACCCACTTGTTAGTTCTTGCCTTTCAGTGGTGTATGATGAACTTTGTTCCTGCACATTCTTAAATGGCACACATTTTTGGCACACGTTTATTAATTTCACAGAATATGTAGCTCTATACCTAAAGTAGTGAAGATGAACCCACAGTTGTTGAGGACCATAGCTATGCGGTGCAGTGGCAATATAGCCATGCCCCCAATGAGCTGAATCAATGCAGATGAACTCTGGGAGACATAGGGATCAAGCTTAATAGGTTCTGGAATAAAACCATTAAGTGTCTCTGCAACTACACTGTAAAATGTCATGATTTTTGTTCTGAATGTTTATTTAGGGGGCTGCAATATGGATGAAGAGTATTAGACAGCATGACTCTTCCTCTTTTAAGTTATCTAAAATTTAGCTTAGTGAAGTATCATATTGTTTTAACAGTGAGAATCATCCATGCACTGGTGGTAGGTCTGCATTAGATTTGCCGGAAGTTTAAGGTGATGAGCAGAATATGATAAAAAGAAGTTGATGAGAAGAATCAGGTAAAACACTGAGCATCTTTAATGTACAGATGTATTGATATGTGTAAAGTTTATTGCATGGAATATGAGGTAAGGTCTATTACCCATGGTCAAAATGTTAGAACATAATGTTTAACCCTGATCTTAATCATGTAGGTGTCCAGCAGTAGTTTTCTGGCAGCAGCTCAGACACGCTGGAGGAGAGGCAGCACCAGGAAGCAGGCTCTGGTCCACATGAGAGAGCTCCTCACTGCTGCTGTTCGAGTGGGTGGAGTAACTCACCTAGTGGGCCCTGTGACCATGGTGTTGCAGGGTGGGCCAAGGTATGTTTAACTGGCTTATATACACCAATCAGCCATAACGTTGAAGCCACCTCCTTGTCTCATTTTATCAGCACCACTTACTATATAGTTGCACTCTGTAGTTCTGAAATTATAGACTGTAGTTCATCTGTTTCTCTGCATACTTAGTTATCCCCCTTTTACCCTGTTTTTCAGAGGTTCAGACCCCCACAGGACCACCACACTGACGTGGTGATAGCAGCCTGTTGGTGTGTTGTGCTGGTACGATTCTATTAGACACAGCAGTGCTGCTGGAGTTTTTGAGCTCTGTGTCCATTCACTGTCCACTCTATTACAGTGTTTTCACATATAGTTTGTTTTAAAGGAACTGAACTGAGTTCTGTTAAAGTGAACCTGGAAGGGAACCAACTGCAAATGACCTCAGTTCATTTTGTGTTCACAATGTAAGTGAACTATAAAGAGGATTTCTTTCTGGTACTTTAAGATCTCAGGCCACTTCTTGTTCAGACCACAACTCCATTAGAACTCACGGGACTCCTTTCACAACACTCACGGCGCTCGCGAAGTGGGCAGCATTCTCTGATAAATCTAACCTTTCAGGTGGCGAGATGAACCACCAGACCCACCTGCTGCTCTCTTGTTGGCCGCGCTGAAGCGATAGGCTGAAGTGCGTTGCGCAAAATTGGAAAAATGACCCTAGGGGTCTGCCGTGGAGGGTTCCATTGGAGGGTGGAGGGTTCCATGGAGGGTTCCATTTTCCGAGTTCCACACGGTGAAATTCCGCGTCAGCGGTGAATTTTCATTCATGCAGCGTTCAGTGTGAAAGAGCTGAAAATTGTGTTGTGTTCCCAGCTTCAGCCTTTAACACGGTAAAATCACGCGGGCTCTCACATCTTATTACTTTAATATGTCAGCGCTGCTGTCTTGTCGCAGATCACGGACAGACTTTATCCTGAGTAGGACCTTATAAATGATCCTTGGTGGTCTGTTTTTACCTGCTGAAGTGCTGAAGACTGTGGCTGTGTATACAGTGAGACTCAAGGTCTTCACCATAAAGCAAAGCTAAAGCGGACTGGGGCTATTTTGTTTTCACAATGTACAAATCAATCGAACTACAAACGAACCGAACTGAGGCCACCTCTCGGTTCAGTTGACTCAACCATGACTCAGTGGTCCGAGTCCACTTCAGACGCTGAAACAGCCAAAGTACGCCCTTAGACACACTTCCCTTGTTGATCCACTTCGTAGATGTAAAGTCAGGGACAGTAGCTCATCTGTTGCTGCACAGTTTGTGTTCGTCAACAGTGGTTGCAGGATGCTGCAAACAGGACTGGATATGTTTGGTTGGTGGACTGTTTTCATGACATTGAGGTGTTTAAAAACTCCAGCAGCACTGCTGTGTCTGATCCACTCATACCAGCGCAACACACTAACATGCCACCACCACATCAGTGTCACTGCAGTGCTGAAAATGATACACCACTCAAATAATCCTGTGAGGGTCCGTTGAAGAACAGGGTAAAAGCGGGCTAACAAAGTATGCAGAGAAATAGGTGTCTGTAATTGTAGAACTACAAATAATGCTAAGTGCACACTAATTATATATTCCAAAAAGGTATACATCATTTGACTAATCAGACAAACAAGCATTTCTAGCTTCTCTTCAGTTGTCTGGTCTTCAGTTTGCTTTAGCGTTCAGTTGATGGCTAGAATGGGTGTAACAAGTGACCTTAGTGACATTGAACCTGAGGTATTGTCAGGCATGCTGCTTGTAGCGTCTCCTATACAGCCATCATCCTGGGCTTTTCATGCACTATTTCAACAGTTTATCAGGTATGGTGCAAATAAAATACTCTTTACACAAAAAATGGCTTGTGGATTAGAGGAAAATTGTGAGAATCATTAATACAGCAATAGGCCACAGCCAGGACTAACCGGGCCTAAACTAGCATTTAATGTTATTTGTCGTGCTGTGCAGTAGAGGTTGGCGATATGGCAAAAATATAATACTGTGTTACATCAACAAAGTTTGTTACAGTGTTTATTTTTTTTAGATCTCTGATCAAATGGAGAAGAACCAGTAGTGCTACTTTAAAAATATGATCAAAAACTGTGAATACAGTGATTTTTATTCTATATTTGGCATACTGTGTTTCACTAAATCCAGTTGAACAGGACTTATTTTCTTCCCTTTTCTAATGAAAACATGCAGTTGGTCAAGTACTGACAATATGCACAATATGTTGAGATAAACAAATTGTATTGTATAAAGTGACAAACTTTATCACAGTAACGCTTTACATTGTCATATTGCCCAGCCCTACTATGCAGTATTCTGTAGTGCGGCATTGTATCCCTCAGTCTTATTAGTTTGATAGAATTGATCGTTGAACCATGTTTATGAATATTTAGTTATTTTTGATGGAACTTGAAAAGCTAATGGAAAACATCGCTGATAAACAATCATTGTCATGGCAAGTAGCATCAAATGCTATACCCAGAGATCCTGCTTATTCTGGCAGCCCTTAGCAGTATTGAAAACTGGTAACATCTTTTTGGTCAGCCAGTCCATAAGCGAGGGGGTGACTACATTTTAGATTCTGTTTTTAGATGACATTTTTTAAGATGCTTGAAAACCTCTTTGTATCCATGTGCCAAACCCTCCTTCACATGGCAAGCTCACTAGCCTCAATGCCATAATTTATTCTTAGAAATAAATGCATGGTTGCCAGATGGCTTCTGTAGTTTCCAGTGAACGAATATTCTAGACACACCAAAATGCATATAAAAATGCCCAAAAAATGCACATCAAAAACAGTCTAAGGCCATTTTAACCATCATACCATTATGACACAAGTAACATTAACCACTACATCAGTGGTTAATGTTACTTGTGTCATAATGGTATGATGGTATGATGTTGACTAAGAATTTGCAGATAAGTATTTAAGTTGCTAGATGGCGCTATTGGTCTTTTTTAACAAATTGGTTTCTTGCATCGCTACTGTAAAGAACCAAAAGCTTTTTGTGTTTTGTATCTCTGTCTCTATCTAAGAAACCCATGGACAAAAACTTTTTTATATATGTGTATCTTATTTCCTAAAGTTGCTGAACAAACACAACAAACACAACCGAAAGGACCTATTATCCCCTCCAAGCAAAAAAGCAATAAATTGCCATAAAATTGCAAGCATAACGTATTCATAACATCTTTAAAAGTCTAAGCTGAACAGATCACAAGCCATTCCAATTTTCTGCTATTGCAGAGCTTGAGTATAGTCAGTAATACCATGTGAAATGGATAATCTATGCTGTGTTAGACTTGTACACACATCCATTATTTCCAGTGGTGGACGAAGTACACAAATCATGTACTTGAGGTAAAGTAGAGATACCCAGGGTAAAACACTACTCCAGTAAAAGTAGAAGTCCTCCTTTAGACCTCCACTTGAGTAAAAGTACAAAAGTATTTGCCCTTAAATGTACTTAAGCATCGAAAGTAAAAGTACTAAAATATTAATTATGACTCTAATGTCCTATTACTGCTTTTGTAACAAGACTCTTGCTTCATTAACTCATTTTAGGTAAAAAATGCTCTAGTGTCACTCTTGGTAAACCAGTCTTTTAATAGAATGTCATTAATGAGTCTGTCACTGATGTCTGTTAAAATTATCATAAGAACAAAACACTGAAGGCAAACAGTTTCCATTAGGTAGAACCAAATGGCTATGAAATAACTTTTTGCAAACAAGCAAAGATTCAGTTTAAGATTTATTTGCAACTTAGTTACAAGTTTAAGTTAATAAAAACTTGCTTTATACACAGGTTCACGAATGAGTTTTCCTTTACTATATTGCATCTGTAGGTGTCTGTTCATAAACATAAACTAGCAAAAAACAAGTTTACGATAAAATGAAATAGTGTTTGTATAAATTCAGAAAAAAGACACATGCCAGTCACAAGTGCGTATGTGTACATATTTCTATATTGTGGTCTATTTACACAAAGTTAGGTTAGTTCCATCATTTATGTTGGCATAGGCACTCCAAAAATTTTACGCTGCTGCACTGACATTGAACCGTACGACAGTGATTTAGGGCCACTGTTACTAAAAATAAAAATAGTAGACTTTGAGAAAAAAAGTCATAGAATTACGACATTAAAGTGGCATTAATACCAGTGGCCAAAGGATTTGCAAAGGGAAGGCAGCACCTCCTCGTGTTATGAGGGGTGTTGAGGAGGTGATGGAGTTACACTTTCATATCGATTTCACCCATAAAGAAATACTCAGTCTCTCTGTCTCTCCTGGCACATCAGCACCAGCCTGTTATTAGTATAAGAAACAGTTGAAACGGCTGAGCAGGAAACTGTGTTTATTTAGAATAAAGTACCAGACGGACTCGGAGGAAACTGTCTGTTTTGTAGAAGGAGAATCGCAGGCAGGGTCTACACAGCTATCAGTGGCTACATCTCTGTGCCATTCAAAGAGGGCATGAAGTTTCAGAGACAATGAGAATGATAATCAAAATGATCGATCCACAAAGAGACAAGAGTGTGTGGAGCTCCGGTGCCAGTAACAGCAACCGAGACCCCAGCGCGTTATGGCAGCCCCCTACAGTTAGCCCACTTTATCCTCCAGATATTATGACTTATTTCTCAAAATATTACAACTTTTTTCTCTAATTATTACAACTTAATTCTTTATTCACTGGGTAGGTATGTCCAACAGGTCAAAACAAGCCCAAAACAAAGTGCATGCTGTACCCTGATTGGTGTGCTTTTTATGTTTTTATGTTTATGATGTTTTTATGTTTTATGCACACATAAGCCAAAACAAAACAAATACAAAAGCCATAATGTAGTGGAGTAAAAAGTTATAGATATTTGACTTCGAAATGTACTGGGGTGAAAGTAAAAAGTCACCCAAAATGGAAATACTTCAGTAAAGTACAGATAAATGAAAAAAGTACTTAAGTACAGTAATGAATTACATTTACTTCGTTACTGTCCACCACTGATTATTTCAATAATAAACTGGGTATGTTAACAGCTGATGTCAGTTGTGAAAAATACAGGTGAGCAGAGCAGTGATCTGCTCTCAGCAGGACTGACTAAAATGTATATTCCTCAATGAATTTGGGCCTATTTAAATTTTAGCTACATTATTGAGTAATGCAATTCATTCATTTTATATACTTATTAAAACCTGCCAAAATAATTACAAACTAAAATTAGAGCTCTAACACAGGCAGTTCGTCTCGACAGTCCTACCTCTGACAACTGCCGAGACATAACCATGGCTTTAACAGTAAAGGACCATTGTACTGACAACAAAAAGGCCATGAATTGCTGTTGTTGCCTGACATGCAGGCAGGCTATCTTGCTGAAGCACCGAAGCATGTGTTTACCTAAAACAAGTAACAGTCTCAGTTGTTAAAATTGAGTTTTTGAATATTTTAATTATCAAATTTATTGAATTTTATTGAACATTCTGTGCAGATCTGTTATTGATTAATTGATTGTTGTGAAACTGAAAATCTAAGTCGTTTTGTTGTAGGATTGAGGAGCTGACCTGTGGTGGCATGGTGGAGCAGGTTCAGGAGGCCTTTGGAGAGACTATGACTTCTGTAGTGTCTCTGTGTGCTCGCTATCCCATTGCCTGTGCCAACAGCATCGGCCTTCTCTGCATCATCCCTTACACTAGGCAAGTGCTTCACTTTTAAATGAAAAGAGAGATGTTACAGGAGCAGCTTGGCCATCAGGACAGTATTTACTAAGGCTGCACACTATGGATATATAGAGTGATAGAACAGAATATACGTTACGCTCAGTATCTGTGAGTTGTCAGGTTGCAGAATGAAGTGGAATAGAGTAGATCTTGTGATTATGGTTCAAAGCATGTAACTACTGGAACATTTCTTTGCATCTTCAGGAGTGAGGAGCAGTGTCTGGTGCGCAGTGGTTTGGTTCAGCTCTTGGATCAGCTGTGCAGTCTGAGCAGCCAGAAAGACTGCACCTCCAGCGAGAAACAAACCAAAAAGCAGAAAGTGGCAACCATGGCTTGGGCTGCCTTTCAAGTGCTGGCCAACCGCTGCATTGAGTGGGAGAAGGTGGAAGGTACTGTCTGATGCTACTCCATGTATAGGGTACTAAGAAGTTAATTTTTATTCTGTGCAATAACTTGTGTAGTATAAACTTAAATCGTATAATGAGTCAGTATTTTAAGTGTTTTATGATTGATGAGAAATAAGTATGTTCTTCAAAACAATTTTGTGTGTTTCGTAGGAATGGGCACAGACAATCAGCTAACCAAAGACTCGTTACATATCCACTTAGTGAGGTAGTAAAATACTGCTTGAAATTTTAAAGTAGATTTTGGGTTACAAGTGCCTGTTGCGAATAGGAAAAAAATCCCAATGCGTATTTCACCGGAGTTACAATTGAATCCATGGTGTGGTAGTACTGTGAGGCTACCATTTCTGATGTCAAGAGAGATTCTGTCAGTCAACATTTTAGAGTTTTAGAGTTTCAGGACTAAGTTTAATCTTTATCCAGGAAAGTGACTTATAAAGACTGGATGACTACGATCTTCACAAACTTTTTATTATCCTGTAACTATATCTAGCCTTGAAATGTTGATACACTGTTGTCACAGTTAATGTTGGTCTTTTTTTAAGCAGTGGCCTAATTTGCCATGTAAGAAACTAAAATAGAAAAAATAAGAGAATATATATAAGAGAAAGTCAGACCCTGTTTCTGCTGTAAAACTATTATGATATATATATATATATATATGTATGTGTGTGTGTGTGTGTGTGTTGTAACTTACTGTTATGCCGCCTGAGTGATTTTATTTTCTTTACTTATTTATGTATTGTTTATTTAAGGTGGCTCCACAGATGGAGTGCATTCTGGACTGGCACGGCAGGTGTCCAGTCTGTTGACTAACCACCTGGCAAGAGCTACAGAATGCTGCGGTAACCAAGCAGCTGGAAATGATGCTCTACAGGACGTGCTCAGTCTACTTAATGACCTGTCCAGGTAACCAGTGTGGCAACCTGAAGTCGCCTTTCATGGTCCTGGTCGTCACACAGTTTGAATCATGTATGCTTAAACATATCATATAATTTTTTACAAAATTTTCGAGATTGCCACTCAATTTTCATACTTGTATTTATGGAGCTACTATACTATTTCAGGATTCAGTACTGTCTCTACTGGTCAATTTGACCACCATTTTGCTGCAGCAATGATAAATGAGTTAAAAGGACCATATTTCAGTGCATTCATGGTAACTTACTTTTATCTTTTCTCTACCTTTCAGGAGTCACATAGGCAAGGCAATTCTTAGCCAACCAGCCTGTGTCTCTAAGCTCCTTTCACTGCTCCTGGATCAGCGGCCTTCTCCCAAGCTGGTGCTGATTATCTTACAGCTGTGTCGTGCAGCCCTGCCCCTTATGAGCGTGGAGGACTGTGGGAATGTGATATTGCCTTTCTGGAGCTACTCTATGAAAACACTGGACGCAGAACAACGAGACGCCAGTGACCCAGCCTCCCGCATTGTAGCTCTTCTGCTGGCCAAGCTAGCCGACTATGTGGTGCCAGGTGAGAGCTGGGTTAAAGACTAAATGGAGTGAAAATACTATGGTTTCTGAAGATTTATGAAGTTTCTCATTTCATTAGTTTATTATGGCAGGGATCACAGCCTGTTCCAGACAGCCATGCAGTCATCAACCTACCTAATCCTACACTTATGCTCTGTGGTGACTCAAAACAATAGCAATTAACCAGAATACTGTATACACACAAACATATCCAACACTGCAGCACCCTTCACTATAAAGCGTGTGTTCACTTGCCACAGAGACGTTTGCCCAGTGAAGATGACTGGCAACTGTGCAAAGACAAGGAAAAGAGCGTAGCTAGTTAATAAACCTAAACCAAATCAAATGCAAAAACATATTGCCACGGTGTGTGTGCAAAATGTTTATGATCCATTCAGGCTCTAAAATAACATTAGATGTTAGCTTTAAAATTTTCACAAAGCCCATGTTAGCATTTGTAGTAAAAGAGCATTGTAAGTACCAAATTCGCGTAGAAGTGACATTGATGACCTTTGATTTTGACTTTGAATGTGTCTACAGGACACCAGCTCAGGGCTTAACAGAGAGCATAATGACTTGATTGGCCATAATACAGTCATAGCTCTCACAAAAACTCAGATTTCAAAAAATCAAAAGTTAAATTTCATCATATATAAAATCAGCTTATTAATCTTAGTGTTTGATTTGTTACACCTTTATTTATTATATATATATATATATATATATATATATATATATATATATATATGTATATATATATATATATACACACACACACACACAGTGATTCCACTGTTGACCAAGACTCTGCTCGTAGCTAACATAATATAACATTAAATAGCAAGCTTTTATCCGGCTGGTTAACTAGGCTTTTATTATACCTGGCAGGAACTAAACATAGATATTTAACTAACTATTAACTAAGCATTGATATTTTCAAAAATGTCAGTGTATTGTATAATATAACGTTATAAAAATAACTTTGTAGCTGTATTGCATCTTAGTTGCAAAATATTTGATGGCAGGTAGGCTCATGTAAGTTCATGTAATGTTAGCATGATAATTTAGATAACAAAATTTGCTAACGTTAGCATGCACATTTTGATTCTTATTGCTAGCTACATGATTGAGTACTGTCCAATGAAAACAATAACCGTTATTTAAAAATAAAGATTTACCATCATGTCACCTGCATTGCATTCAGTAAATGTTGGGAAAGTTGTTCCTTTCAGCTTGAATCAGATTTGAGCCAATTTGATTTGGGTATTATTATTTTGAATAGAATGAAGAGAGCAGTGTGCAAAACACCCCCTAGTATTTGGGGGGCTCCCATGTTGGCTGGCTTCTTCAGTGTTGGCTTGCTGCTAACTCACTCACTGTAGAGGTCCTGGTGCTTCATTGGCATCCAAATGTTTAGTTTAATTTTTATTTTTTAAAATGCCCTTTTATAGTTTGATAATGTGCTCATCCACACATTAACTGAGATCTTACACATTTCCTTTTTTGTCTTTGGTTTGAGAAATGAGTAACAATTCACTCTTTCCACCAGTCTCTTGGGAAATTGGGTAAGTTTTTAGATTTACAGATATGCTGTGATATGTTGTTTTTCAGGTATCCCAGATTAAGTTACAGTTGCTAGGCTATGAAAGACCAACTAGGTGAACCAGTTTGCTACAGTGCCTCCTTGAATCAGACCAGTGCTACATCTGTAGTTAGTTAAGAATACCAAAGACAGAAGATGGAACCCCAGCTCTGACAATAAGCTTCTCAGCCCAAAATTAAATCAAAAAGTACATGCTGACATCTGTTACTTAATTTACTTAAATTGCTTAAGTAATTTCTCAACCAGCCTATAACATTGTCAAACAAACCAATACTAGCCAAAAGGAACAATAAGATATGTAATTAATGTGTGATAAATCTGGGTAGGCCCAGGCGATGGAGGAGGACCTAATGAATTTTAAATAAGGAATAAAGGAGGAATTAATAAAGGTCCTGAATTTCCAGTTTCAGATTTGTTTTATTAATAAAAAAGTGTAGTAAAATAAAGACAGGAAAGAAAGAAGGAAGGAAAAGAAAAAAGAAGGATTAAAAAAAAAAGCAAGGCAAAATAATGTGAGGTTTAGAAAGCTTTAGATATATAGAAATTAAAGTTTTAAGTGCAAACATGGAAGAAAGAAAGACACAACGGATAAACAGCAATAAATTCTTCACGTTTATCAATTTATTAAACTACACTTTTGAAAACTGACAAAAGATTTCACGCAATTAAAAAATTATATAAATTATCTGAAGTGGTATGTTTTGAGAGAGCAAATTAAAGATAAGTAACACGGTTGAAAAGCCAAAAAAAAAAAAGCTTGAAGGGAAAGGGGAGTATGCAGTGGTTATATACAAGCACAGCCCATCAGTTCCAAGGGCAGGAATTCAATTTGTGTGAAGTTTTCACCGTACATGTTTATGGGCAAAAATGTCAAACTTTAAAATATTATATATACACTCTATTGCCAAAAGTATTCACTCACCCATCCAAATGATTGAATTCAGGTGTTCCAATCACTTCCATGGCCAAAGGTGTAGAAAACCAAGCACCTAGGCATGCAGACTGCTTCTACAAACATTTGTGAAAGAATGGGTCGCTCTCAGGAGCTCAGTGAATTCCAGCGTGGTACCGTGATAGGATGCCACCTGTCCAGCAAGTCCAGTCGTGAAATTTTCTCGCTACTAAATATTCCACAGTCAACTGTCAGTATAACAAAGTGGAAGCGATTGGGAACGACAGCAACTCAGCCACGAACTGGTAGGCCACGAAAAATGACAGAGCGGGGTCAGTGGGTGCTGAGGCGCATAGTGCGCAGAAGTCACCAACTTTCTGCAGAGTCAATTGCTACAAACCTCCAAACTTCATGTGGTCTTCAGATTAGCTCAAGAACAGTGCATAGAGAGCTTCATGGAATGGGTTTCCATGGCTGAGCAGCTGCATCCATGCCTTACATCACCAAGCGCAATGCAAAGCGTCGAATGCAGTGGTGTAAAGCCCTTCTCCGTCTGCCAATCCGATGGACGAGTATGGGTTTGGCGGTTGCCAGGAGAATGGTGCTTGTCTGACTGCATTGTGCCAAGTGTAAAGTTTGGTGGAGGGGCGATTATGGCGTGGGGTTGTTTTCAGGAGTTTGGCTCGGCCCCTTAGTTCCAGTGAAAGGAACTCTTAATGCTTCAGCATACCAAGAGATTTTGGACAATTTCATGCTCCCAACTTTGTGGGAACAGTTTGGGGATGGCCCCTTCCTGTTCCAACATGACTGCGCACCAGTGCACAAAGCAAGGTCCGTAAAGACATGGATGAGCGAGTCTGGTGTGGATGAACTTGACTGACCTGCACAGAGTCCTGACCTCAACCCGATAGAACACCTTTGGGATGAATTAGAGCGGAGACTGCGAGCCAGGCCTTCTCGTCCAACATCAGCGTCTGACCTCACAAATGCGCTTCTGGAAGAATGGTCAAAAATTCCCATAAACACACTCCTAAACCTTTGTTAAAAGCCTTCCCAGAAGAGGTGAAGCTGTTATAGCTGCAAAAGGTGGGCCGACATCATATTAAACCCTATGGATTAAGAATGGGATGTCACTCAAGTTCATATGCGTGTGAAGGCAGACGAGCGAATACTTTTGGCAATATAGTGTATATAAGGTATAATCTAAAATGTCCTATATATAATTACAGTATAAAAATGAACAATAGAGTGCACACCTCTTGCTGAAGATACAAAACAAACTTTGAAGGCAGTCTTTACTTTAAGCAGTTGTATTCCTTGTAGAAACATGTTTGGTGAAGAAGAAAAGAAAAACTAGATTTGTATTTGTAAGGTAATACAGTGCTGGCAGGGCAAAAAAATATTGACAATAAAAGAAAGAAACAAAGAAAGACACTAGGAGATACTATTATAACAGTAGAGAAAGTGTTGCCTGTTACACCATTGCTCACATTTGCTACATCTCATACCATCTTTTTCCAAAAATAATATTTCTCAGCAATGAGGAATAGTATTTAAATATTATAAAAAGGACAGAAAAGAAAGACGAAACATCTAGAAAAAGAACATCTGGAGAATTCCTTAATAATAACATTACAATCAACTGCTTTACATGCAAAGATAGAGGACTGAAAGACCCTTTTCAAAATGATGGAACTTCATTCTAAAATGTTTGAATAAGTTAAGAATAAAAGGTATAAGATGCAAAAAAAACAGATGGCACACTTCTTGCAGGACAGTGCTCGTTTTGTGGAAATTTTAGCTATATTGGACCGGTGTAGCTACAGGTTTTCATTGCAAGCAATGTAATAAAAGGGATAGCAATCCAGTGCCCACCTTACAAGCACTGTAATGAAACCTTGGGGAAAAATCTGATGTAATGCATAATATTTCTCAAAAAATTTCTGGAACAAAATATTTGACATTCTTAAGCTTTGGGTACTGCAGCAGAATTTTTCCATCCTGCACACACAATTGTAATTAAACATTTGCAAATATCCCTTGTAACATAAATTATATACATATAGTTTAAGACATTGTTTAAGTTATAGTTTAAGTAATCATTTCTATCTTAGGCTGCCAGACCCTCCTTTCTCCTGCCTCATCTGAGCCAGATACCAGCATTACTCGTGCTAGCCCCAAGAGCAGTCTCAAGACAGACAAAGATGCTGGAGAAGAGGGAGAAGCTGTGGATGGCAAACTCTCCATCTTCATCCACAAAAGAGAAGACCAGTCTTCCCATGAAGTGCTTCAGCCATTACTCAGGTAAAACATTTGTTTTGTTTTTGTTCTCGCACAAACTGACACAAACCCTACTATTAGTAAAAACATTGATCATTAAATTCATCAAACCATGAGGGTATTTTCTTGACATTTTATAACCAATAAAACAAGTGTAAGGGGTGTATCATTGAGGCTTTTTTGTAATAAACCTGCACTGTATTTCCAAAACTAGCGAGTCACTCCATCTAATGCAAATCCTTCTAGTGAATTATCTACTGCAGGGTGCACCCACTGCTAACATAGGCATTTAATTGCACACACACAGCTTGTATAATCTCAGATTGCATTCTCTGAAGTGATGGAGCATGCATCATCTAATATCTTCGGAATGAGTGGAAGCATTGTTTATGATCCAGAGTTAAAGCCTTCCCAGAATGGATTTCGGAAGAAACATTGGATGAGCAAGTAGTAGTAACAGCAACAACAACAACAATAATAATAATAATAACATTGGTTTATGTAGCACTTATTTTAATTACAACATCACTAAGGGCTTTTCACAGGAATGTAAGTAAAACCAATAAAATACCATGGTCTAAATGATAAAAATAGCGTAGTTACAGCCAATGAGACGAGACGTAAGACTTCAGGCAAAAGATAGTTACCCTAAACAAATGTTTTTTTTGTTTGTTTGTTTGTGTTTTTACTTAATTGTTTCTCATTTTGCAATTACCATTGGATAACTTCCAGGAAATAAAATAAATGAATACAAATATGAACAAATACAACTAAAGAACAAATACCTCTGTCTAGCATATAGTTGCTTACAGGACCATTTTACAAACATCATGGATTACACAGTATTACATAATACTTCACATGTACCTCATACATATCCTCTTAGCAAATATGTTTCATTCCTACCTAATTGGAGTACTTTCCCAAAATAAAGATTCACCAATGAAAACTCATAACATAAACATAATTCCGATAGCATTTCCCCAATAGCATTTCTCTTCCTAAAAAAACACAACTATTAGACAGCCCTAAAAACATGAAAATGATCAGCCATCTGAGTACTGCACTGTCTACAGCATTGTCCCCAATGGCTTCCTTTGTGTTATGTTGAAACTATCCATCTACAGAATCTATCCCAGTCATCATCTGGGATTAGCATATTATATTCTTTCCCCCCCTTTTAATTTTATATATGTACTTGAGTCTCTTTTAGTTATTATGAGACACCTGTATATTCCCTAAACAAATATGTAGCAAATGTTCAAATGAAAAGATGTTTACAAACTTTCGGAAAAAAGTGTGTATGTGCTTTATGGCCTTCTGATGTTCTGTGCTATTGTATACTAATATTGTAGTGCACTATGATCTGTCATGAGTTTTAAGTAGGCTCTTTCCAAGATGTTGACTTCCTTCTTAATGATCCTCTTGCCACTTATTCATCTCGTCTCCCTGCAGTAGCTCAGAGGGGCGTCCTTTTCGGCTAGGTACTGGAGCAAACATGGAGAAGGTGGTGAAAATGGACAGAGATATGACCAAGGTCTGACCTGTGTTTATAATATGGATAATATTTAACTGTCTGATTGCCGCTTAGTATGTGTGGAGGATGCACAGCTACATTTATCAAATCTGCCAATGTGAAATTTATGTAAATTTGTACCAGTGTTTACTTTCCTGGATGTTTTTCTATCAAAATGTTGTCCAAAATGTAGCTGACTTAAAATATTAAGTTAAATTGTCATATTGGTGTAATTGACTTTTTTATTTCACTCTCTTTGTAGACGGGGAGCTGTGAGGTAATCACAGAGGAGGCCTCAGCAGCCCTGCGTAAGGCCAGTAAGTGGGCTCAGTCTGGGCTCATTGTGAGTGTTGGTCCCCCAGTGGAGACCCTCATCCAAGAGACCACAGGAGGAACCAATACTGGAGACAAGAAGAAAAGTGCCCAGACTGTGGTATGCAGAGACAGAAATGCTGAACTGGCTAGGTAAGAGAAAATAGATTAAACCTACTACTGAAGATCATATGCCTTGTTTTTTCATAAATCCTTAAAAATTTGGGTTACTTACTGATGATGGTTCATATAAGCCTCTTTTCCACTGTAGATTCTAAGGTTCAAGGATCAAGGTTCAATGTTAACTTTTCATCCAACTTGCCCACTTGGGCAAGCAACCTGAAAATTCACTGTCCCGAACCAAATTCCTGCTGTCCTGAACAAATCTTTGTATTTTAAGGTGTTAAAAATAAGTGCACACAAACTAATATATTTAGTTAAGGTTATTTATTCATAAAATAAAACTTTTTTTAACCAAACTGCTCAAATTCCTACCACTGATTTGTATTTCTATTTTATTATAAATAAATTTGCATTGAAGTTATCAATAATCTTAACGTTAGCATTTGCACGCATAAGTAAGCAAATATTACCTTACCCTCTGCAAGCCATGTCGGTACAATACTGTCTACCAAGTTCCAGTTCATTTTTAATTTGAAGGTCCATTTCATGTGGGTAGTCGGTGAGGGGTTCTCTTTTAACCATGTGATATGCTGTTGTGACTAACTTGGTCAACCTGGAATCTGCTTCAGTGTTCGTCCATTGTATGCACGTCGAGTCACCCAGATGTGCTTAGCAGCTTTTTTCACTGCTACACACACTATGATTTCTGTTTTCTAAAAGTTGTAGTTCTGTGAAAAAAGAACCACTTTCATCTGCCTTGTTAGGGAATTCCCTACAAACTTTACAGAACATCTCAGGTACAGAGGGGTCAAAATCGACCCATGAGAACTGGGTTTTCCAAGAGGGAATGAAGCTGCGGACTTGCTTTGCTGTATTCGCACTTCTCCAACATTTTCCTGCATGCCTTTCTCCAACATCATTGGTCAATAAGTGAAACCATTGGTTTGTTTTGACTGGATGCACCAGGGGTTAAATATTAAAGTGAATTGGGTTTGGCCTCAGTTATGTTGTTTTGTTAACAGACTGCGCCCTGCTTTTATTAGTCAGAATTGAACCTGTTCTGTGGTTAGCAGCTCTAAACTAATACTAACCAGCTACTCTCTCAATTTAGAAATTGTTGTTAGATTAAATCTTTGACATTATTTGAATGGTGGATTTAAAATCATGCACTGTTTTCATATATTTGATGTCTGTGTGTGCAAACTGAACTTATTTGATTGGCTTTGGATTTGAATTAATGCAAGATGTGGTGTTGCAATACTGACATAAACGTAGAACCAATCAGTGAATAGCCATGTCATTGTGTCACCCCACTGAATGGGTCTGTACTCCTGAACACAAGAAAGCGTGCTGAGCCTGTTTTTTATTTAAGCATGTTGTGTGTTATGACCCAGTCTAGGGTTAGGCCATAACATAAATGGAAAGAGAGAGGGAGACATCCGTGCCCTTCCAATTCCCTTGACCACGCACACAACAACCAGCTTCACAATGATAATGATGTTTTTAAGTTGTAACATAGATGAGAAAACGGAAACAAAATAGCATAACAAGAAAGTAGGGTAGGAGAAAATAAACATAAAGCTAACTAAACCAACAAAAAGAAAAGAAAATACATCAAATTTAACCTAACTCCTTAACTTAACCAATAACTAGGAGAAAAAGATAAACAAAAATGTCCTCCCTCCCTAAGATGAGGAAGGAAAGATACTGCAGTGTCTAGGCCTCACAGACTTTGATGGAGAATATATACGGACTTCAAAGGTAACGTCAACACCATATGAGCTGGAGCATAATTTAGAGTTTCAACACCATTTGAAACATAGGTTTTACCTATGTACCACACTGAAAACCTCAACACCTTGTAAACTACTCCATACACAGTTAAGACAGCCATCACAGCCTTATAGTTACTCTAATGAAACATGAGCGTTTCTCAGGTTGGTGGTCAGGGAACCGGGAAGCAACAGCGTGTAACCCTCTCTCTTGCCTCACGTTTCCACCTGGTCTTTATCCAGCTTTTATAGATCGAGTCCCCTGCTGGACTGGAGTCATCATGACACTGCAATATGTGAAAGAAAAGAAAGAAACAAAGAAAATTGCACAGAACAAAACATCATGACCCCTAGGGTTGTAACACTGTGCCATACTGTGTCAATGTGGAAATGCCGTTGGAACAGTTATACTGTGTGCTTAAAACCTGTATTGGTCTCAAAAAAAAATCTGCAAGTTGTACAAGTCTACAGATTTTATGTAAATAAAATACCTTTACTTGCCTCCTATCAAAAATGCTTGCCTTTTTAATGAATATAGGACTATAGACTGAAGTAAAAATGTCTTAAAAATAATTTAAACATGCCTGTTTAAATGTAGCCAGTAGCCGTTTTTTGTTTGTTTTCCAGACATTTTTAAGTTTGTCACCTGCATTCACATGCTTAAACCAATTATGTTTTGGCGTTTATTGTTTATAGCCACATATTATTAGTGTTATGTCTAAACACATTGCTTGCTATGTAACGCAATAATGCAAAATAATTGACTAAGTATATTAGCCTATACAAGGAGCAGATAATGATGCAGCAGTAAAATAAGCCAATTCATTAATCTAGGTATCCTTTCTGTGTAATTTAACTGAGATGTTGATATATTTCCTCATTCTGTTTTTTCAGACCACTCTCGCACACACATGCATATCACACACATACACTTGAAGTCAAACATGGCCATAAATATTTGAGTGGCATATGCATTGTGCATATAAGCAATATTCATATCATTTAGTAGGTCCATTGTAACTATACACCGATCAGGCATAACATTATCCTTGTTCCTATGCTCATTGACCATTTTTTCAGCTGCACTTACTATATAGGTGCACTTACAATTACAGACTGTGGTTCATCTGTTTCTCTGCGTACTTTGTTAGCCCCCTTTTACCCTGTTCTTCAGTGGTCAGGAACCTCACAGAGCAGGTACTATTTGGGTGGTGGATCATTCTCAGCACTGCAGTAACTCTGACATGGTGGTGGTGTGTTAGTGTGTGTTGTGCTGGTCTGAGTGGATCGGACACAGCAGTACTGCTGGAGTTTTTGAACACCTCAGTGTCACTGCTGGACTGAGAACCAACCAAAAATATCCAGCCAATCGCGTCTTGTGGGCAGCGTCCTGTGACCACTGATGAAGGACTAGGGGATGACCAACACAAACTGTGCAGCAGCAGATGAGCTATCGTCTCTGACTTTACATCTACAAGGTGGACTGACAAGGTAGGAGTGTGTAATAGAGTGGACAGTGAGTGGACACAGTGTTTAAAAACTCCAGCAGCACTGCTGTGTCTGATCCACTCAGACCAGCGCAACACACATTAACACACCACCACCACATCAGTGTTACTGCAGTGCTGAGAGTGATCCACCACCCAAATAGTACCTGCTCAGTGAGGGTCCATGGGGGTCCTGACCACTGAAGAACAGGGTAAAAGGGAGCTAACAAAGTATGCAGTAAAACAGATGGACTACAGTCTGTAATTGTAGAACAACAAAGTGCACCTATAAGTGGAGCTGATAAAATGTACAATGAGCGTAGAAACAAGGAGGTGGTCGTAATGTTATGCCTGATCAGTGTATATGGTACAGCAAAAGGTTTGTGGAGTACATCTTTTTGTTTTAAAGGTTTTTGGCATTTTGCACCCCAATTTTCATTACTGCAATCTGTCTACATATGTGTTCCTCAAATTTTTTGGCTGTTTTTAGTTAGAAAAAATCAAATTATATAAATTAACTTTGGATCTCTTTAATGCAGTGTTTTCATGGTAAACTGTAAGGATGTGAAAAGAAATAACTTTTATTGACAAAATTGCAAAAAATAAATTTAAAATTATTAGAGGTGATATAATCTATATTAATGATAATTGTAATTGTAATTTTTATTTTACTTAATAAACAGATTGTGAGGGGGAAAAAATGACAGGTTTTTCTTCAAACTTTACTGTGTTGCGTTAATGAGAATTTGTTAAATTAGAAAACGTTACTAAATCAATTTTTAAAAAAATATTCATCTTTCAGCATGTTTTTGATGATTAAATTTTGATGAATATTCAATTATGAAATTTGTAGTTAAAATAACAATGAAATTTGTTTATTTTCTATCTTCTTTCTCAGGTCTGACCCAGTACGTCCATTCATCAGTGGTCACGTAGCGAACAGCATGGCTGCTGAAGTCATTGCTCTGCTGCACAGTCTTCTTACTGCACCAGAGTCAAACACTGCTCAGATCTGGACCACTACTGCAGAGAAGGTTTTTTTGTTTGTTTGTTTTTTTGTGTGTGATTGGTTTAGCTTATGTAAATTCTGAAGCACATAGGTATTCTGGTGTGCAGAATTGAGAATTTGTCGCCTCTAAGCATATTTTGAAAATACAATATCTAAAATGGAAATTGAAATTACTTTTTGCACTTTTAGGCTCCAAAGAAAAATTCAAATGTAATAATGACTATTTTTGTCACATTTATTTGAGAGATTTGGAAGATTTACACAACTTACATGAGCAATTAATTTATGTAAACATCCAGTTACAAAACGTTGGGACAGTAGGTAAAATGCAAATAAAAGCAGAAAGCAGTGATTTATAAATCTGCTTTGACCCTTTTGACTTTGAACTATATTTGATTGAAAACAGTATAAAGAAAAGATATTTAATGTTTAAACTTATTCATTTTAGTGTTTTTTTGTAAATATACACTCGTTCTAAAATGCAAAATGTTTAAAAAACAATGGGACAGGGAAACAAGGAAAGTTGTGAAATGTTTAAAAACATCTTAAACTGGTGCTGCACTCATGCTTGGGTATAAATGGAGCAAATGGGAAAGGCCTAGTCCTTTAAATGAGCAAGGACGGATTAAGGCTTGCCATTTTGCCAAAAAAGCACCAACAAAAAAACAACAGTTGTAGACCCTGTTTACACCTGGTCACTTCATGCATCATGTATCAGGATTATACACTAAATTGCCAAAAGTATTCACTCACCCATCCAAATGATTGAATTCAGGTGTTCCAATCACTTCCATGGCCACAAGTTATAAAGCTAAGCACCTAGGCATGCAAACTGCTTCTACAAACATTTGTGAAAGAATGGGTCGCTCTCAGGAGCTCAGTGAATTCCAGCGTGGTACCGTGATAGGATGCCACCTGTGCAGTCCTGAAATTTTCTCGCTACTAAATATTCCACAGTCAACTGTCAGTGGTATTATAACAAAGTGGAAGTGATTGGGAACGACAGCAACTCAGCCACGAAGTGCTGGGCCACAAAAAATGACAGCGCAGGGTCAGCGGATGCGCATAGTGCGCAGAAGTCACCAACTTTCTGCAGAGTCAATCACTACAGACCTCCAAACATGTGGCCTTCAGATTAGCTCAAGAACAGTGCATAGAGAGCTTCATGGAATGGGCTTCCATGGCTGAGCAGCCGCATCCAAGCCTTACATCACCAAGCGCAATGCAAAGCATCGAATGCAGTGGTGTAAAGCAGGCCGCCACTGGACTCTAGAACAGCGGAGACGTGTTCTCTGGAGTGACGAATCATGCTTCTCCATCTGGCAGTCCGTTGGACGAGTCTGGATTTGGCGGTTGCCAGGAGAATGGTGCTTGTCTGACTGCACTGTGCCAAGTGTAAAGTTTGGTGGAGGGGGGATTATGGTGTGGGGTTGTTTTTCAGGAGTTGGGCTCGGCCCCTTTGTTCCAATGAAAGGAACTCTTAATGCTTCAGCATACCAAGAGATTTTGGACAATTTCAGCCAACTTTGTGGGAACAGTTTGGGGATGGCCCCTTCCTGTTCCAACATGACTGCGCACCAGTGCACAAAGCAATGTCCGTAGGGACATAGTTAGAAAAACAAATTAACCAAAGGCTCGACTAAACAGGTAAGTTTTTAGCCTAGACTTAAAGATGGAGGCTGTGTCTGAGTCCCAAACACAGACTGGTAGGTTATTCCAAAGCTGGGGGGCTTTGTATGAAAAGGCTCTTCCCCCTGACGTAACTTTATTTATTCTGGGTACTAATAATGAGCCCGCACCTCGTGATCTAAGTGGGCGTGTCGGTTGATAATAGGAAATAAGGTCACTGAGGTACTGAGGAGCAAGGCCATTCAAAGCTTTATATGTCAGTAGAAGAATTTTGTACTCAATGCGGAATTTAACTGGCAACCAAAGTAAGGTACACAAAATTGGGCTAATATGGTCGAACTTCCTGGTTTTGGTGAGAACTCTGGCTGCAGCGTTCTGGACTAACTGAAGCTTGTTAAGGTTTTGGCTGGAACAACCAGAAAGCAGAGCGTTACAGTAATCTAACCTGGACGTGATGAAGGCGTGAACTAACGTTTCTGCATCCTGTAGCGACAGTGTAGCGAATGGAATGGTCTATTGTGTCAAAAGCTGCACTAAGATCGAGTAAAACCAGTAAGGATATGTTTCCTTTGTCAGCGGATAATAAAAGATCATTTACAATTTTCACTAACGCTGTTTCGGTACTAAGGTGAGGCCTGAAGCCGGACTGAAATTGTTCATATATATTACTCCTATGCAGATGGGAACATAATTGTTTTGCCACTGCTTTCTCTAAAATTTTTGATAAAAAGGGAAGATTTGAAATAGGTCTATAGTTTGATAGCTCAGAGGGGTCAAGACTAGGTTTGTTTATTAAGGGTTTAATTACATCTAATTTAAGAGATTTTGGAACATACCCGAGGCTGAGAGAAGGGTTTATTATAATTAGAAAGGGCTTAGTTATTTCTGGCAAAACATCTTTAAGTAAACCTGTAGGAATAGGATCTAGTATACAAGTTGTTGTTGTTTTACCCAATTATCTCCCCAATTTTGTTGTTTCCAATTCCACCCGCTAGTTAGGACTCCCCCAATCACACGATGCTATCAACGCTAGGAGGGTGAAGGCTAGCACAGGCTTCCTCCGAGACCTGTGAAACCAACCACCGCTTCTTTTCGAACTGCCGCTCACGCAACGTCACTGGACAGCTGAACGCGCTCGGAGGAAAGCGCCAACTGCCAGATCTGTTACGTCAGCTAACAGACGCCTGCGCTGACTAGCATCACGTTGAGTGATGGGGGGAGAGGGAGGGGCCATCCTACCCACCCAGAGAGAGCGAGGCCAATTGTGCTCTCTCGGACTCCCGGCTACGGATGGCTGTAGCATCACCAGGGATTGAACTCGCGATCTTCTGATGATAGGGCCAACGCTTAGACGGTTGCGCCACTCGGGAGCCCCCCAAGTTGTTGTTTTTGAAGATGAAATAATTTGGACGAGCTCTGTTTGTTGGAGTAAAGTAAAAGACTCCAGCGTCTCTGTAGTGGTTATACTGCACTCTAGATCTAGATTAGGTTTATAGGACACTGCACTGCAGTGCTGCGCATTTTGAATTTTGTGCCTAATCAATTCAATTTTATTATTGAAGAAGTTCATGAAGTCAATGCTGCTGTATGCTCATGGTATCTGGGCTTCAGTAGCTGCTTGATTATTAGTTAATTTAGAGATAGTACTGAATAGTAGCCTAGGATTATTCTTGTTATTTCCAATCAATGACGAGAGATAGGCTAAACGTGCTGACTTTAGTGCTTTTCTGTAGTCTATAAGACTCTCCTTCCAGGCAGAATGGAAAACCTCAAGTTTAGTCTGACGCCATTTACGCTCTAATTGCCTAACAGTCTGTTTCATAGCTCGAGTATGGTCATTGTACCATGGAGCGAGCCTTTTCTGCCTTATTCTTTTACTTTTTAATGGAGCCACATTATCTAAAGTGGAGCGAAAAGTGTCTTCCAAACATTTAGTCAGTATATCTAAATCATTGGGTTCAGACGGACAACTAATTAAGGACAAATGATCTGGAAGGTTTTCAATAAAGCTATTGGGTGTAGACGATGTTATAGTACGTTTAACACTATAGCGTGTGGATGGACATATATTACGACTAAAACTGATTTCATATGAGATTAGGTAGTGATCTGACACTGCTGTGGTCTGAGGAAGGATGGCCAAATGCTTAATGTCTATACCTAAGGTCAATAACCTCACAAATGCACTTTTGGAAGAATGGTCAAAAATTCCCATGAATACACTCCTAAACCTTGTGGAAAGCCTTCCCAGAAGAGTTGAAGCTGTTATAGCTGCAGAGGGTGGGCATGCATCATATTAAACCCTATGGATTAAGAATGGGATGTCACTCAAGTTCATATGCGTGTGAAGGCAGACGAGCGAATACTTTTGGCAATATAGTGTATCTGGATAAGGCCAGGCCACATAAAAGTGCAAGTGAAAATGCACCCAAGATGCTTTTAAAACAGATTAAAATACGATGACTCAAACAACTTCATGAGGTAATCTGAGACACATTTGAGCCACGTTATAGCAGTGTAAACACATCCAAGACACATTTGATAAACATAACACCTCCCACCTCCCTTTTTCGGAAGCACTTGGTTCACAGCTTCAGAAAGCTGTAAATTCCTGTAAATTCTTGTATAACATTTGTTTAGCCACCATGTTTCAGATAAAGTGCCTTTTCTGCTTAGCCCTGCCCTTGTGGGCTTACTGACAGCTGGATAACTGTGAAGGCAAATCGCTTAGAATGCATTCTGATTTTGATTCTGTCTTTCTGTCATCTGCATTCTGATTGCATTGTGACAGTAAGCAAGCATATGCAAAGAAAGAGAGACACTGTTTCCCTTTTTATATTTCAGTGCTCTCATTGTTCTAGCATGTTTTTCTTTGTGATATTCATCAGCTTGACACATTAATTGCAAAATGATAGTACATGTTAATTTTCCAGTTTGCAATTTTATTTAAATAAAACTGTTCAGAATGTCCAAATGTTGTCCATTATTGAATTTGAATTTTCCTTTTGAGACATATTTGAGTGAGAAATTTAAATTCAAGTTTAAGAATTTTATATATTACATTTTTATAATTTTGTATTAATATGCTTCCATAATTTAAATGGGACAAGTGGACAGTCCTGTACATAACATCTGTGTCAGAAATCAAACATTCTAAACCCCCTTACAATGCTGCTAGTATAACAAATGACAAATCAGAACATTATTATTGAATTTTCATATGGAGCCCAAAAAATTCAGCTATAGTAAGGCTTCCATATTAAATTAGTTATTTTATTGCTTTGTATTATTAAGCATGTTGTCCTGCACATAAATTTGCATTTTAAAAACTGTCTGTTTCTGACCCTCTTTTATTTACTCATATTTTTTGCTCTTCCTCTCTTATCTTTGCTCTTTCACATGTAACAGGTACTGTCCCGGGCCTTGATGTACATACCTCAGCTTGGAAAATATGCAGAGAACATTTTAGAGAGTGGCAGCAGCAGTGGAAGAAAGCTGGCTAAACTACAAGCAATCAGCCGACAGGCCGTGGCAGCCTTGTGCGCCCTGGGTGGCTTCAGGGAGAATATCAAGATTGGTTCAGAGGTCCAGGTTAGACTAAAGTGTAGCATGTCAAATTGCCCAAAAAAACGCAAGGCTCAGTAGCTATTCCTGGCTTCCAGTTTTCATTTTACTTTGTGTTAATTTTCTGGATTGTCCTGACTCTTGCATCAACCTGTTTTTGTAGGTGGTAGGTAAAGGGGTGCTGGGAAGTGATGGAGTGGTTATGTCCATTAATGAACAAGAAGGCATTGCCACAGTCAAGTTCCCTTCTTGTGAATATCGTCACGCATGTCAGGCCTCTGACACCTTGACTGTACCCCTCTCACGCCTCTGCACACCCCGCTCAGAGGTAAGATTCTTAATAAGCTTTGTTTCATTTCAGTCCTAATTTTTTGGGTCATTTAACACCTTTAATTTACTGAAATTATTTGCATTCATATTATTCTCACCATTTCTACATGAAAATTTGGGAAATATCTCTTGGTTTTCTTATTTTATAATGTAATCTTCGGTGATACATTATAGAGGGTATGCATGTGATGTCACAATTGGCAGAAGTCGCTGCAGTTATGCCCACTGAGTGGCAGAAAGACCATTAGCGTTCAATGTGAAAACTGCAAAAACACAAAAACATCTAAAATGGAAAAGAGCTGTTGTGCATACAAATAGATTCAGCAAGAATTCTGAGCTATCTTTTTACAGGCTGCCAAAAGCTAAACAAAAGAAAAACAAATGCATCCCCACTGACATGGCTATGAAGGTCATGGTGTGTCATCATGCATCCTCACTCATAACTGCTGCATGTAAATATGTTTCTCTAAGTCCTGTCATACATGTGCAATGGACTGACAAAACTGTCCCTCTGTCTTCTCTGCAGCTATCCAAGGTTTCATTCGGCGGTCATTAATTCTTTGACTGTGTTTTACCTGCACGGATATATAACGTTACTGAGTGGCAGCGTTAACTACGAATAAAGTAGGCCGAGCTAGCTTACATTTCTCGAAATTAAAGTTGTAATAAAATACAAATATTTGAACAACGCTATCCACATACAACCAGAATATCCTTTGGTGTCCACCAACAAATCGCAGCTCAAAGTACAAACAAGCATTAAGTCTTTTGTATGCTTTGCTTAGCTTACTGCCTTTCGTTTAAGCATATAATCAGTTGTTACATTCTTGGTTTTGCTATTTCCCCTAATAAATGCAGCCATGTTACAGAATGTATTGCCACTCAGTCCAACTGAGGGGGGTATTTTGGTGGGAAAGTGACGTCAATGCATACCCTGTTTGTCTGTACACATTGATCCTAAGTCTGCAGATCACTGCTACCCTTGCTCATGTTCCATTCTATTTCAGGCATTGCCACTCTATAAGCTTTCCATCACTGAGAAGGTGGTGCAGGCAGTACAGTCCATGCTGCTGCCACAAGAGGGCAGTCTCTCCATCCACACCGCCCTACCAGCCTCTGGAGATGGCTCTAGCCCCATCATGGCTGCTGTGCGCCTGCTGGCTGAGATCAGAACTAGGTCAGAAAGTAACTATTATAAAAATCTGAACTTTAACATTTGTTCCTGTCTTATTGTCACAATTGAATGTTTTTACATAAATGTATTTCGTGTATATAATGTAATGTATGTTGCAGAGCATGTCTAGTGATGGCTCAGCTGCTGGAGGACAGTTCGTTCTGTGAAGAGTTTATCCAGCAATGCCCTGCTGCAGTGGAGGTTCTTAATCTGGTGGCACAGGAGTGCAGCCCTGGTAAGTGTAGTCAGTCTGTACAAGACATGGGAATGTAAAACAGGTTAGCAAACCAGTGATTTGATCATAATTTATGGGATATTATTTTTTCTTATCTTCCTTTCAATTTATTTTTTTTAATTTGTCTATAGGTAACCTGAATGTAAAAAATAAAAATAATTGCTGACATAAAGTCGCTAACACAAGTGCACTATAATGCTTGATTTCTGAGAGTGAATTTTCATCTGTATTTACATGTAGCTTCTGTCAGTCTGTTATAGACACGCCCTTTAGCTCCACCCCCACTTGCACTTGTGTTGCTCACTGTTTCTTCATACTTGACCTGAGCACAAACTTTAATCAAATGTGTGGCAACACTACTTACCCAGATGCACAGTGCCAACTATTATGTCTGGTGAAGTAGGAAAAATGGCAGAGTTTGACATTAACTATTGCCCAGTTGACCATTTTAGTCTACCCGCACAAGATTTGTTTTACATAGTTTGTAGGTCTTCCCTTAACAATTCAGATATAGCTAATTAACTGTAAACCATTCTTTATTAGCACTGCCATTTATGGAATATAATCACTAAATTGTTATAAAAAATCTCGTGAGCTTGTGTGCAGAAAAGGTCGCTAGCTCATAATCACACAAGGTTTTGTGTGACACTAATGATATAGGTTTGGGCACTTCTGGCCAAATTATATATTTGTGTTTCCAAACCTTGTAGCATCAGTTTTGTTACTATTGCTTCTTGGTGATGCCTCCCTGCACAAAGTGAGGTCCATGAATAAATGGTTTGCGGAGTTTTGTGAAGAAGAACTTCTCCAGCTTGCACAAAGACTTAACCCCCATGGAACAACGTTTGGATGAATTAGAAAAGCAAATGCAAGCTAGCCTTTTTGCCCGACTTTACTCATTGTCTTGTAACTAAATGGAAGCAAATCCCCACAGCCATGTTTATGGCCAAAAGAGTGGAGCATGTCAGACAACCATGATATTTGAGTGTCCACATAACTTTGACCATGCAGCGTATGTTTTATTGTGCAGTTAGAAGTAATAAAATGCAAGAGTAATTAATGTGCACAAAGGAAATTAGAGGATGTCTTCTGTTATTTTGCAACATAGTGATTGTGACTTTGTTAGTATGTGGTGGTCCCAGACTGAACACACAGGGGTTATCGCTTGTTTTACCAGTTTCAGAAAAAAAAACACTGGCAAGATTAGTTGTTCAGTAGTGTGTGTGTGTGTGTGTGTGTGTGTGTGTATAGGTGAGCGACTGGGTGTAGTCGAAGCTCAGTGTGAAAGATTGAGAATGTTGTATCGTGACTGCGCCCGCCCCCCTCCTCCTCCTCTCCAGACCGACAGAAGACAGGTGAGTGACTTCATTTGGTGGTGATAATGTCATGTTTTTTCTGATAAGTTCTGTGCATAGGGAGCCTCAGTGTGTTCAGTGTGAATTTTGAACTTCATACTTGATTGACACTTCTGCCCCATGCTTTTCTATTCTGGTAGTCATGATATTCTTTAATTACAAGGTTAGGTTTGCTGTATACTGGATCTGCAGATTTCAAGTCTGCTGTATAGGTTTATTAAAAAACCACTATTTTTCAGTCAGTGTATTTCAGTTAGAATTTCTCTTGTGACATTTCTTTCAGCCAAAGGAGATTACATGGTGTCCATCACGTGTCTTCCCACCTGTCCGTGCCTGTATGTTCTCATCCCATTTGACCTCTGTGACCTTTCTTGCGGACCCCAGCGCTGGTGGTGGGCTGCCTAGAGGCACTTTCATCTACGCCACTTCACCAGTTCCTGTACAGGTCAGGCTGTACGTCAAATGATTCTGCCATCCATTCTGAAAACTAATATTTTTTGTATATACGACCCCATTTCCAAAAAAGTTGGGATGCTGTGCAAAATGTAGATAAAAACAAAATGCAATGATGTGCAAATCATTTAAACCCTCTATTTAATTGAAAATAGTACAAAGACAACATATCAAATGTTGAAACTGACAAATTTTATTTTTTTAAGAATATATGCCATTTTGAATGTGATGCCAACAACACGTTCCAAAAAAGTTGGACAGTTGTGTAATGCTAAAAAAACACCTGGTGGTTAATTGGCAACGGGTCAATAACATGATTGGGTATAAAAGAGCATCCTGGAAAGGCTGATTCTTTCAGAAGTAAAGATGGGGAGGGGTTCACCACTCTCTGAAAGACTACGCAAGCAAATAGTGCAACAATTCAAGAATAACGTTTCTCAATGTAAAATAGCAAAGAACTTTTGCTTTTCATCATTTCTGGTACATAATATCATTAAAAGATTCAGCAAATCTGGAGAAATCTCTGTATACAAGGAACAAGGCCAAAAACCAGTATTTACTGACCATGATCTTTGGGCCCTCAGGCGGCACTGCATTAAAAACAGACATGATTCTGTAGTGGAAATCATTATATGGGCTGTGTCCTCCAGGCTAAAGACCACCCAGCTTGTTATCAGTGCACAGTTCAAAAGCCAGTATAAGGGTACATTAATTCACATGGCATGGGTGACATGCACATCTGTGAAGGCACTATTAATGCTGCACAATATATCAGATCAAATCACGTTTATTGTCACATCACATTGACACAGTTGCAAGGTGAGTGAAAATCTTAGGTGCATAGCCCCCTTGTAGAATTTAAATACAAAAAATATATAAGAAGAAAAAAGAAATATATAAACACTGACTCTAAATATATACACATACACACAATATGCACTGCTATTGCACTATTTCCAATGCACAGATGTACAGTAATAAGTTATGAAATAAAACTATAATATGTGCTGTTGTACACATTTCTGTGCAGTTAGTGAGTCTGAGGTAGATAATAAATGTGATGCAGGGTACACAGGGGATAGAATATTGATACAGAAATCTTACAGATACATGTTCCAACATACGCTGCCATCCAGATGACATCTTTTTCAGGGAAGGCCTTGCTTATTTCAGCAAGACAATACCAAACCACATTCTGCATGTATTACAGCAGCATTGCTCCGTATTAAAAGAGTCCGGGTACTAAACAGACCTGGCTGCAGTCCAGACCTGTCACCCACTGATAACATTTGGTGCATTATGAAATGAAAAATATGACAAAGGAGACCCTGAACTGTTCAGGCTGAAATCCTTATAAAGCAAGAATGTAAAAACGTCACTTTCAAAACTACAGCTGTCAGTCTTCTCAGTTCCCAAATGCTTACAGAGTTTCATGTTAAAACTTTGTCCTTAATGGATTTCTGTGAAGCTGCTTTGTGACAACATCAGTTGTAAAAAGCGCTATACAAATAAATTTGACTTGACTTGACTTGTTAAAAGAAAAGGTGATGAAACACAGTGGTAAACTTGCCCCCATCCCAACTTTTTTGGAACTTGGAATCAAATTCAAAATGGACACATTATTTTTTAAAAACAATGAAATTTCTCTGTTTCAACATTTGATATGTTGTCTTTGTAGTATTTTTCCCTTAAATATATGGTTTACATGATTTGCACATCATTGCATCCTGTTTTTATTTACATTCTGCACAACGCCTTTTTTGGAAATGGTATTATATGACATTTTGTAATTTTACTTTTTCTTTCCATTTTGTCCCTGTCCCTTTGTCAGGCTCCATCATTTTACTGGGAAATAGAGATTTTGTCCTACGGAGACTCTGAGGATGACAGTGGCCCAATTGTGTCTTTTGGCTTTGCCACAGAAGCAGAAAAGAGAGATGGCGCATGGACCAATCCTGTTGGGACCTGTCTCTTTCACAAGTAGTTATTTTATTCACTAGATTTTTTCTTGTATCTTTTGGTTGGCTCTCGCTGACTGCTGACCACCCATCCTTTGTTCCCACGCTAGGTTCCTCTTTATCTTATCCTAAACTTCATGTTTTCTGACTCCCTCCTTCTCTCTGTCTCTCTCTCCCCCTCCTCCCTCTGTTGCCCTTTTTTCTTAGTAATGGGAGGGCTGTACATTATAATGGCTCCAGTTTGCTTCAGTGGAAGAGCGTGAGACTAGATGTAGCTCTGCTTCCTGGTGAGTTGGGATTTTTTTCTGCTTTCATCTTAAGAACCACTGTGTCTGTCTTTCTACCTATACTCTGTGTGTATTCACACATTCTAACCATGGCACACTGTCAAAGAGTAAGTTACATCTAATCTCATTTGTAACAATCTGGCCTATGCAGGAGATGTTGCTGGAATAGGCTGGGAGCGTTTGGAGGGAACGCCACCTCCGCCGGGGCAGGCTCCTAAAGGTAGGGTATACTTCACCTACTGCGGCCAGCGTCTTAGCCCCTACTTGGAGGATGTGGCTGGCGGCATGTGGCCCCTTGTCCACATTCAGAAGAAGGTGAGCAATTTAACACCAATAATGTGACACCACAAAAACAATGAATTCAAAATAGACTTTTGCCAGTTTTCATATATAGACTGTATGGACTGGTAAAACTTCAAGAATGTTTACTGCATTAAACGCTTTTTCTTCAAAAAAGCAAGCAAGATTCAATATTCATATAGGCCCTTTAAATGACTTTGAGTGCTGTGAGTTTTTGCAAGTTCAATGTTGAATTACATAACAAAGGAACATGAACTAATTGTTGTTTATGTGTAGATACTAGAATGCAGTTTATCTGACTTTTAAATCAATTTCTAGGCCCCACATATTTACTAATCACTTTCTTTGTGTATGTTGACATCTCTAGAACACAAAAATCCGTGCTAATTTTGGATGCCGGTCGTTTGCCTATGCGGAAGGGCAGGCTCATAGGAATGCAGCCGATCTGTGCATGGACCTCTCAGAGGAGATCAGTGCAAACTTTGAAGCCCTGCCATTTGCCATGGCCTCAGACAGTGACAACGACGCTGGTGCTAGTGTGGCATCTGACTCTGGCTCCCATGGGCCTCCTTGTCGCATTGCTGCTGTTGCTACTGCTCAACAACGTAAGGCTTGCTACTCTCCTAGATATTAGAGTGTCAATGAGAGATACAAAGCAATGTCATAATACTGTTTATGATGATGTAGTCCTGCTCTGCTGTAATTCATCTGTCAGAGACTGCAATTTTCTTGCTGTATTGTCCCAAGAGCATACCAACTAATTTTACAGTTCAGACACTGACACAAATATTTATGCTGTTGTTAACTTTTCCTTTCCCTGCCTGCCCCTGATATGCTGCAAGAGGGGGATATATTTTCTTTGCAGGAATTAGGTCTTGAGAGTCTTACTCCTAGGTTCTGTGTAGTGTGCAAATAAAGTAAAAAGTTCTTTACCTACTAAGCATGAATAAGTCATACTTTCTCCTGTCCACTCTGGTTCATAGAATATAACAGCGATGCTTCCTGCTCCTACAAAGTTGAACTAAGCTATGAAAATATGGTAACCTCTGGGCCTGACCCACACCCTCCACCCATTGCTGATGATGAAAGTGATGATGAGGATGATGATGATGTGCCAAGGGTAAGAAAAAGTGCCACATGCATTTATTTTAATCTGCCTGTCCCCAGCCTTTAATTTTACCTCCAACTCTGTCTCTTTGTAGGAGGATCACTATGCTTTGCTGGTGAAAGCATGGGAAACCAAAGTATTCCCTACTATCCGCCGCCGCTTCAGGAATGAAGCCGAAAGGAAATCAGGACTGGACCAGATCAAGGGAGCCCTTCAGCTTGGTGAGAATTATCCATTCATCATGAAGTCAGTTAATGTGGGTTTAGTTGTGGTGCACTTCGCAGTAATTGTTTCTTTGCCTATAAGGCTTGATATGAAAGAGGTATTTAAAGTTTCATAGCCCAGAATGCAAATTTTTATGAGAGTAGATTGCAGGACGGTGTTCCACTCATGACTGATGATATGTCTTCATATTTGTATATTGACTGGCAGGAATGGTGGACATTGCACGACAAACAGTGGAGTTCCTGTATGAAGAGAATGGTGGCATTCCCCGTGATCTTTACCTCCCCACTATTGAGGACATCAAGGACGAAGCTAATAAATTTACTATTGACAAAGTCCGCAAAGGTACCTACAAACACCCACAACTGGACATGGAAACACACTCATTCACTCTCTCCCTCTCTGGGATGGAGATCATGGACGGGGCCAGAGGGTGGGTTCTGCTGCACTGTTTTTTGTCTAAAAAAATAAATCAATCAAAATGTCAAAATCAAATAGGGAAGGTCAAGATGGGTTTCACAAATCATCTTCGACCTCTGAGTAATTATGTTTTAAAATGTCATTGTGAATAAACAAGAAATTCTGTTTAAATGCGTATACGGCTGCTCATATTAATTATTAATGTTCTGTGTACATTTCTGGAAAATTTATTTTATATCAAAAATTCTGTTTATACCCACTGATTAAAACCAGTTACACCACGAGTGGTGCAACCGTCTAAGCGTTGCCCCTATCATCAGGAGATCGCGAGTTCGATCCCTGGTGATGCTACAGCCATCTGTGGCCTGGTGTCCAAGAGAGCACAATTGGCCTCACTCTCTGGGTGGGTAGCATGGCGCCCCCCTTCTCCCAATCACTCAGCGCGATGTTAGTCAGCGCAGGCGTCTGTTAGTTGACGTAATAGAACTGGCGGTTGGCGCTCTCCTCCTATGGAAAGCCAGTAGTGCCAAAACGCCTAATGAGCAATCACCTAAAAATGAAAATAATTTAAAAATTCTGTGCTTACACATTTTGACATCTTCCATCCAATCAGTAAAGCTGTACATGAATACATCTGCATTTTAATAAGAGAGTGTGACAACACCTGACAGATGCAACGTATGGTATTCCATATTCATGAGGTACTTGTTACAACGCAGTGTCGATGGACTGTGACATACCTGTGTACGTGGTGATACATAATCTGTGCGTGATAATACATAGGAGTTAAGTGAAATGTTATGATCACGTGAACCACCTATTTCACACATGGTCAACGCATCATTGTCGCATGACCAGAGCTCAGTGAAATGAGCTATACAAATTTACAAATACAATTGCTAACTGCAGACTTGATCTGTTTGGTTCAAGCCTTAAGCCAAAAAAGTTGTTGAAGAATGAAAGCATTTTAGCAATGCTGTTTATTTTTATTTATTTATTTATTTATTTATTTTGCATGCATGCAATTTTGGTCTATATTAGACCAAAAAAAACAAAGGGTTTCTGATGTTTTGGAAGAAGGGATTTTACTTAAACTGTTGTTCTTAGGAAACACAGTTTTCGGCCTTCATTAATATGATCTTATTCAGAGCACACAGTTCTTTAAGAAAAGTAAAATTTTGAAAATGTAGGCCTTGGAGCACTGGCACCATATCAGAATAGAAAAAAAAACAGTGGATTTCTGACTGTTTGACTAATGCCCATACTCACAACTGGTGTGGCTGAGAAATACTGTTTTGCTGTTACTTTATTAACATAATCTTACTCAGGAAACATTAATCTGTAAGAAAATTGGCATTATGAAGCAAAATAGGTCACTGAACTACTAGCACCACATTTTGATCTAGGTAAATAGACAAAATCAGTAGTATTGCTGAGTAATACAGTTTTGCACTGGCAATTTATTGATATCATTCTATGGACACATGAATCTTTAAGAAAAGTGACATTATGAGGAAAAATATACGTCTTTGAACTACTTGCAACACGTTTTGTACCAGGTGTAGACAAAATCAGTAGATTTCAGACATTTTGTCTCAAGTGTCTATACTAAAATTAGTAAAGAATTAGTATTAGTTGCTGGGTTTTGCACTGGTAATTTATTAATATAATCTTACTCAGGACACACCATGCACTGCTGTGTCTGATCCACATGTAACACACACTAACACGCCACAACCACGTCAGTGTCACTGCAGTGTTGAGAATGATCCACCACCCAAATAATACCTGCTGTACGGTCTGTAACTGTAGAACTACAAAGTAAAACTGTATGGTCAGTGGAGCTGATAAAATGGACAATGAGTGTAAAAACAAGGAAGTGGCTGGTCAGTGTATATATGCACTAATGGATACATTTCATAACATAGAGCTGTGGTTCTGGGCACATGGTGCAGTGGGTAGCGCCGCCTCACAGCAAAAACGGCCAGGGTTCCATTCCCTGTCTAGGTGACCAGGATCCTTTCTGTGTGGAGTTTGCATGTTCTCCCCATGTGCATCGGTTTCTATCTGCAGTCCAAAGACATGCAGTCAGGCCAATTGGACATGCTAAATTGCCCCTATGTGTGTTAGAGCAGGGAAAACACTGAACTGTGCAGGCCTGGATACTGCAGGAGAAGGGTTGGGAAACACTACCGCATTAACTAAGCAGAAAGCACAATGAGCTTACACTGAGCATTTCATGTTTAAAAGCTCAGAATATGAAGAAAATGTTATTTTTTATAAATATAATTCCATGTTTTGAGTGTTCTGTTATATCTATTAAAATACAAACCCCATTCCGAAAACTAGGTTGGGACAGTATTTGAAACGCAAATAAAAAGCAATTTATAAATCTACTTTGATTTATTTGAATAAAAACAGTACAAAGATGAGCTATGTAATATTTTTTGTTATCACCTTTATTACTTTTGTAAATATATGTTCATTCTGAAAGATGCTTGCAGCGTGTTCTAAAAAAGTTGGAACAGGAGTAATTTAAGACTAAAAACACAATGAAAAACAGTACAAGACAAAACATCAAATATCATTTTTGGTACTGTTTTCAATTTTTAATACAGGCCAAACAATTTACTGATCACTGCAGTTTTTAATGGCATTTCACATACTGTCCCAGCTTTTTTGGAATTGAGTTTGTAGGATATCAGGTCAGGTTAATCTTTATTGTCATTCCAGCCATATACAGGTGTGCAGTTGGATGAAATAGCTTTCTCCAAGGTCTTGGGGCAACATGTAACAGCACAGTAAACAAATTATATAACAAGGCACAAATGTGCTGGTGTGTAATACAAAGAGTCTTTCACATGCAACAGCATATTAAAATAGTAAGTGTCTAAGCAGCACAATGGATTCCTAGAGTGTAAAGAGGGTGAATAAAATAAGCGGCCATAGCCTGTGTTTATAATGAGTATAATTAACATATGAAATATTGTATTCACACAGAATTTCAAAACTCTTTGATGCCACAATTTCAGTTCATCCATTACTGAGATTATTCTGTCCATTATCATTATTTATTTTTGTTTTTAAATGTACACCTAAATATGTAGGAAATGTGTAAACAATAGTTATTGTGTGTGTACTTAGGCCTGCACAAAAATCTGATCAACATGAACTACTTATCTAATAATTATAAAATCCATAATCATTAAAATAAATATATTTCGTTTTGGAATTAGACTTGTGTAGTAAGCTACTCTTAGATTTTACTTTGGATCAAAGTCACAGAAGCCATTAAAGTTACAGAAACCATTAAAACTTTCTGTTGGTTCCTGGTAGTGTCCAGTAGTCTCTATCAGTATTTTGTGAGTTCAGACCATTCCTTTAACATGTGGTGGTAGTATGAGGGAAGACTGACTGAGAGAGGGGGGAGATCTCTGGGAACTTGAGCTGGAGTTCTGAGCAGCTTCAGCGTGTAACTAGAAGGCCAGATCCCCCCTCATAGCTGTAGTGGGACTGATGTAGGACTGATGTAGGACTGAGGAACAGGGAGGAGATGGGGTGGCGGTGGGGATTACGAACACTTCATCACAGGAACGGAAGGTGAGGATGTGAATTTATAGAGTGTTGGATTGGAAGATCGAGGGATTTCAGCCGTGTTCCTCCCTCCCAAACTTCAGTTATAACATAACTACATTTAGTGTTTTCCTGATGGGTTGATATCACAGTGTCAAGGACTCTACTGGTTTAACAGGTGTTCAGACTCCAGATGTATTTGTAGGTTTCCTAATGGGATCCATAGGTGCCCTACAGAAAACTAGTGGTCTCCAATGGTAACCTTTAAGCTAATTCCCATTAGAAAGCAAAACCATCAATTTTTAATCCTAATGGTTCTAATGGTCTCTTTTCATCAGTGAAAAAACAGATGCAGAAAACATCAGGTATCTTAAATTTCAAAAGCAAAGCTTTGTTTAGAGTCTATTAAAATATTCTTAAAAAGAGAGAAGACTCCACTTATCTGCCAGAGGCCATCTCAGAAGACGGTGACTGTGTCAGTTTAAGAGGTCTTACATCCTGTATGTGGAGATGTAATACATTCATCAGCACACTTTGGGAAATAGCGTAGATAATTTTTAAATTTGCAGTTTTAAAACGACGTTGAGACATGTAAAATCCTGCCACTATTACAAGAAAATGAATTTCTCCTGCACATGATGAAAAAAATCACATGTACTGATGTCAAAATGTTGCGTCTGTATACGATCATGCTTGGCTGTCTGCACGCGGAAATATTTTGAGCATACACACATTATGTCCATCTGTACAAGTATTTCTTCTGCCGCCTGTAGGTGAAAAATCTTGAGGCATTTTGGCACTATTGGCGTTCGATATCCTCCGAGCACATTCGGCTGTCCAGTGACGTTGCGTGAGGGGCAGTTCGAAAAGATGCGGCTGCGCTTCAGGTCTCGGGGAAGCCTGTGTTAGCCTTTGCCCTCCTAGCGCTGGTAGTATCGTGTGACTGGGGAGTCCTAACTAGTGGGTGGAAATGGAGACAACTAAACTGGGGAGAAATTGGGGAAAAAATACAAAAAAAAAAAATATGGAATCAATTTATTATTTAAATTTCATACAAAAAGATGTCTTGACTGGGCTCATATATCTTAGTGAGTACTTGTTTTAGAAACAAAATAATAGAGATTTGTATTATTCAAATGTTTTCGTTCCATGCACTAGGTACATCTGTTAGTCATTTCACAGGCTACAGTGCATTATCGGTATTATATTTAGCCACTCTAGATGAGTGATAGTGTTAAATAGTGTTAACATAATTTAATTACTCGTAGTATTACACTTCATGTATGCCGTAAAGAACAAGAGATTTTTTTGATAGGGGAGGCATATATACAGTTGTATGTTTAGGCATCTTTGTTTAGGCATCTTTGGAAAAAAAAATAGTTTTTGATTTTCTAATTCTGAAATTAAGAAATTAACTCCACCTCTGCCTGGAACAGACTTAAGTGTAACATATTTCTATTCTATTTCATTATCAGCTATCTTGCTGGAGATGAGTTTGTATAGTTTAACAGCTACTCATAATTAAATATACACCTTTTTTTCTTTTCATGACCAGCAAGCATAAATAATTACAGTGATTATCATGAAATTCTGAATGCTATTGCTTTGTTTTTATGATTATTGTCATTATTGTTACCATACTACTACTACTACTAATCTAAATTTTCAGTGGGATTCAAACGAGCAGATTTACTTGGCCATGCAAGCACCCTCACTTTCTTTTTAAAAACAATCTTGAGTTATTTTAACGGTATGTCTGTAGTCATCGTCTTGTTAAAACAATTTTTTCCCAGGTTCAGTTTCTCCTGTAATATGTCTCAGGTCATCGTTTTATTAATTTTTCCTTCAATGACTTGTAATGCCCCAGTAACATAAATGTTTCCAGGCTTGTTTAGGCTTAGAGGAGAAGTATAGGGGAATTTTTTTATTGTTATTTAAGTCATGTATTTCACATGACAATCATCAACTTACCATGAACACAGATGGTCTAGGTTGTGAAGTACTCTGCTCAGTCATGCTTGGGTCACCTGTTTTTTATGATAGGGATGTTTAACGTCTTTGCTATTTTTTTTCTGTTTGGGTGTATTTAATAATGCCTTCCCTGAGACGTTTAGAAAGCTCCTTCACCTTCACCATGATTGCTACTTTTTGCATTAAATCTTCCCAACCAAAGGCTACATCTTTTATGATACCAGATGCAATTTAAAAAAATATTTATATATGTCTGATTACTTTAGTCAGTTTTGTTTTTTAAACCCCTTTGTTTAGACTTATGAATGTATACTTTATCACAGGGCATTATATTGGTAAATTTTAATATGGATATATGCATTGGATGTATATTAAGTAAGTAAAAGTATCTAAATACTTGTTTCCCCTCACTGTATAATATCACATTTTTCATGTGTCCACCATTTGTCTTTTACAGTTTTAATTTTTTTTTTGAGACTTGCATTCTGCTTTCATGGGTCTGGATGTCATTCCCTGTATGTGTATTTGTAGATGTCTTTGCACAATTAAGGCTTTAACTTTTAGAAAGAGTTTTAGAAAGAAATATTATTTTTCTTCAAAGAGTGGTAATCCTGTTCAGACCTGGTCCTGGGCTTATAAGGTCTCCATTCTCTGCTATGAATCCTCTCAGGACTGACCGTGGTTATACGCTGCCCTGACAGCAACAACACTGGTAGCAGCACAGGAGGAACAGCCTTACCCAAGTTTGCGATCCGAGGCATGCTCAAAACCTTTGGCCTTCATGGAGTGGTGCTTGACGTTGACTCTGTAAGTTGTCTGTATAACCTTTTTCTGATGACTAGGGCTGAATAATTTTGAGAAAAATATTCTGTCTGCCATTGTTACTGCATTCTTTTTTTTAATACATTAATGTCCAGGCCAACTTTTTTGAAGAAAAGACCACTTTTTCTGGCTTGAAGCTTGAATGCTGAATGTAGTGTGCTAGATTGCCAGTTAGTTGTGGTTATGCTGTATAGGTGTTTGATGTTTGGTTGCTTCTGATTGGGCTGTCTTATCTTTAGGGAGTTCACCATCTCAGTGTTATTAGGTTACATTTCTCTACTTGTGAAACTTGTTTATAATGTTTCAGCTTCAGCTGTTGTTTCAGTTTCAGCTCTTGCAATTTGAAAATTGCACTCCTTCAGTTTGATCTAAAAATGATTCATCTTTCAGATCTACAGATGATGGTTCTTTTAGGCAACTTTTGAGCTTAAAGAGGAACGGAGGAGATATTGCTCAATGCTCAATATTGAAGGAAAAAGAAACAAATCTGCCTGTTGAAGAAAATACTTAATTGAGCAAGTTAAAAATGAATGAGTGCTCATGTTGTTATTTAGCGTATTGTAATTCATGTTGTCTGGGTACCAACCTTGGCTGAGCAACCTTTTAAATATGAACTACAGATTCATTTGTTATGCTTACAGAGGACCTAATTGTTTGCATATTATAATTCATGTTGTCTGGATTAGCTTGATGTCTTCTAAGCTAGTTAACTACTTCACCTTTGACTTATTGTTTTTTGTTGTTGTTGTTTCTAGTGGTAAAATATTATTGTAAGATAACATCCATTTATTTAATTTGTGGCTTGGCCATTTTGTCCAAAAAAAAAATAATAATAATAATTTTAGTTCTCTCCAGACTGCATAATTACACCTACAGACATTTCTAAATATACTGGTTTGGCTCAAAATAACATTATGCCAAAAAATAGCAAGTAATGGTTTGAGTAAATTTCCATTATTGAGTGACCTTGGAGAATCAGATGTACAGGTAATTCACATGTTAAGGTTTCTGTAAATCTGAATTCTATGTAAGTTTCAGCTCTATAGAAATTTTACAGTTTATTAATTTGTAGGACTTCTCAGTTCTGAGGAAAAAGCATGTACTGGGGAAAACTGTTTACAGTGTCAAGGTTCCTCTTTAGTGTCATGATTCGTGCATGGCATCTAGCTAAATGTTAATATTAGGAATTGCAAGAGAAAGAACAGGTTCTACTAATACCTAACACAGCATGCAATTCTTGGATTTATGCCATATTTTGTGTGTCCAGGTAAATGAGTTGGTCCAGGTGGAGACATATCTACGAAGTGAGGGTGTATTGGTCAGGTACTGGTACCCTATTGAGATGCTGGAGCGCCCACCAACAGGATCCCGCAGAACTGCAGCCAATGGCCTAGTATCTCTGGACAGCAGCAACATTCAGGTTCACAGGTTGAAGACAAAAATCCATTTTTATTTCACACACACATATATATATATATATATATATCACACACGCCTGCATATTCCAATTCCATTCCATTTTTAAATCAAATTTAAATCTTTTGAGAAAATAAATCAAAATACTTCCAGAAAGGCCTCCAAAGGGCATAGAACAAGACAATTTTTTTGGAACACTCAGTGAACTTCTATTGCAGCTGTGCTGCAGCAGTTATAGTATTTTTCTGATAAGACCTGTTAATAACAGAGTGCATGTAATCTTTGAAGTCCCCTGACTTTTTTTGCGCTCCATACTTCTTTGAATTTTGCAAGTAGTGATGCTTTTCAATACATGAGTACTTTTAACTGCAGTTTCCCCAGGCATGTGATGAAGCATGTGTTTCACAGAAAAAAAGTTTTTAATAAATTGGATTTTTTTTTATAATTCCTCTAGTTTATATATTGCTTTAATTTGTCTGGCTGTGTGTTAAACTTTTTGTTCCACATTTCTGTGAAGCACACTTTAGTGGACTCTGTTCAGCTATGCATGTGTTTCAGGGAGCTACTGCGTTGTGAGAGTGCCTTGGCGCGTCTGTACTGTCGCATGGCGTTGCTCAATATCTTTGCGCCTAAGAGCCCTCACACCTTCACACGTCTCTTCCACATCCCTGCTGTACGTGACATCACCCTCGAACACCTGCAGCTCCTGTCTAATCAACTGCTGGCTCCACCTCTGCCAGGTAAAAGAAAAATTAGCAATAACACAAGTAAAATTGTACCTGTTTTTCACACGTAACAATCGTCTAATGGTTACAAAGTGAATTGTTATCACACACGCGCACACACACATATTCGACCTATATAGTACCCTCCAGAATTATTATTTCTCAGCACTCTTGGGAAAAATTACATCGGGAGAATGAAAACTAAGGTAAGTAAGACCCATATATCTGTGTATTATTTGAAATTGCAATGCTCTTCCCCAACTACAAGTTGTTCTTTTCTTTTGTGCTGTCCCTGATGTCATCCTACACATACAGTATATAGACAAAAGTATTTGAACACACCTCTTAATCATTGAATTCAGGTGTTTCATTCCGTCCTACTGCCACAGACGTATAAAATCAAGCACCTAGCAATGCAGTCTGCCCTTACCAACATTTGTGAAAGAATGCATCATTCTAAAGAGCAAAATTTCTTCCTGCCTAGATATTCCACAGTCACATAGTGAAAGGCGCATAGTGCATAAAAGTATCTAACACTCTGCTAACTGCAGACTTCCAAACCCCCTTTGCCATTAACATCAACACAAAAACTGTGTGCCAGGAGCTTCCGAGCAGCTGCATGGAAGCCTTACATCACCAAGCACAATGCCAAGCGTCGAGTGGTGTAAAGCATGCCGCCACTGGACTCTGGAGCATTGGAAATGTATTCTGTGGAGTGATGAATCACGCTTCTCTATCTGGCAGTCTGGTGGACGAGTGAGTTTGGTGAATGCCAGGAGAGCCTTACCTGCCTGACTGCATTGTCTGAACTGTAAATTTTGGTGGAGGAGGGATAATGCTATAGGGTTGTTTTTCAGGGGTTGGCCTAGGCCCCTTAGATCCAGTGAAGGGAAATCTTAATGTTCAAGCATACCAAGACATTTTGGGCAATTGTTTGCTTTCAGCTTCGTGGGAACAGTTTGGGAAGGCCCTTTACTGTTCCAGCATGACTGTGCCCCAGTGCACAAAGCAACCTCCATAAAGGCATGGTTGGGTGAGTTTGGTGTGGAAGAACTTGCCTAGACAAAGCCCTGACCTCAACCCCTTCGAACACCCTTTGAATGAACTAGGACGGACATCGTGACCCAGGCCCTTTCGTCCAACATCAGTGTCTGACTTAACAAGTGCTCTCCTGGATGAATGTGGGAATTTTTGCAAGTTTCAAGTTTCAAGTTTATTTGTCATTTGCACAACATGTCAGGACATTTATGCATTGAAATGCTTGTGGTGAGGCTCAGACAATCACTCTACAGAAGTAAATAAGTAAAAATAAAATTACAAGAAAAACAAACTGAAATATATTAAATATACACAAAATATAGAGAACATACTGATAAAATATACACAAATATAGAGAAATGTACACAAATATACAGGCAATATACATTTTAAAGTGACTTAAGTGATTTAGTGTTATTGTTCTTAAAGTGGCTTAGTGTTAATTAAGGTGTTATTGTCCATAGCAGAGATGATATGATGTAATAATAATACTGACAAAAAGACTGAGTGAAATGGTAGTTGGTGAAGGACCCACAGCTTCACAGCTTGTTCAGAAGCCTGACAGCCTGTGGATGGAAACTGTTCATTAACCGGGTTGTCCTAGCATGTATGCTACAAAATCTCCTACCTGATGGCAAGATGGTGAACAGGCTGTGTGCTGGGTGGCTGCTGTCTGACCGGATCCTTTTGGTCTTCCTGAGGCAGCGGGACTAGTAGATGTCCTGTAAGGCTGGTAGTCTGTTGCCTATGATGGCTTCTGCCGTCCTCACCACTCCTTTAAGGGCCTTGCGGTCACAGGCAGTGCAGCTGCTGTACCAGACAGTGATGCACCCTGTGAGGATGCTCTCTGTGGTGCATCTGTAGAAGTTGGTGAGGATCTGAGGAGGCAGACCAAACTTCCTGAGCCTGCGCAGGAAGAAGAGACGCTGACGGGCAGATCTCACAATAGTGTTGGTGTGGAGGGACCAGGTGAGGTCATCAGTGAGGTGTATGCCGAGAAACTTCACACTGCTGACTCTCTCCACTTCGGCTCCATTGATGAACAGGGGAGAGTGACCACCCCTCTGCCGCTTCCTGTAGTCCACGATCATCTCCTTTGTTTTGCTGATGTTGAGACAGAGATTGCTGTCATGGCACCACTCTGACAGAGCACTGACCTCGTCTCTGTAGGCTGTTTCATCTCCATCAGTAATGAGGCCTAGGATGGTATTGTCATCAGCAAACTTGAAGATGATGTTAGACGTGTGTTTGGCTACACAGTCATGTGTATACAGGGAGTAAAGGAGGGGGCTAAGCACACATCCCTGTGGAGCCCCTGTGCTCAGTGTAGAAGAGAAGCCGTTACCAACTTTCACCACTTGGGGTCTGCTCGTCAGGAAGTCCAGTATCCAGTTGCAGAGATGAGAGTTCAAACCCAAGTCTGTGAGCTTAGGAATGAGTTTGGCAGGGATGATTGTGTTGAATGCTGAGCTGTAATCTATGAACAGCATTCTTACATATGTGTTCTTTCTGTCCAGGTGCGTGAGAGCAGTGTGTATTGTTAGTGCAATGGCGTCGTCTGTGGATCTGTTGGAGCGGTATGCAAATTGGTCAGGGTCCATGGTGGCTGGAAGTGTTGAGCAGATGTGGGCTTTGATCAGCCGCTCGAAGCACTTCATAACTGTTGATGTGAGTGCAACAGGGCAGTAGTCATTCAGGCAGGTGACAGACGATTTCTTGGGTACTGGAACAATTGTGGTTTCCTTAAAGCACTTGGGAATCACTGACAGTCTTAAGGAGAGGTTAAAGACGTCAGTGAAAACCTCAGCCAGCTGGTTGGCACATACTTTAAGTACACGGCTGAGGACCGTGTGCCTTGCGTGGGTTAACTGCCCTGAAGGATCTCACCACCTCAGACAGGGGAATGGCTAGTTTCCCAGCAGGTGAGGTGTTGGTAGCCTCAAAACGAGCATAATGAGCATTAAGTTCATCTGCAAGTGAGGAGGAAGAGCCCCTATCACAGATCCCACCTTCTTTGTAGTCAGTGATGATGCGTAGGTCACTCCACATACATCTGAGATCAGAGCCAAGATAGTTGGATTCCAGTCTGTCCCTGTAGCTCCTTTTGGCCAGCCTGATGGTCCTCTGAAGGTCATATCTGGCCTTCTTGTAGCTAGTCGGGTCTCCAGAGTTGTAGGCAGCAGCCCGAACTCGTAGTTTGGCTCGAACCTCAGCATTGATCCAGGGTTTCTGGTTGGGAAAAGTTCTGACATTGATTTTTGGTACAATGTCTTCAGTGCATTTATTGATGTAGCTAGTGATGGAGTCAGTGTATTCATTGATGTCTGTGCCAGCCGCATCACGGAACATCTTCCAGTCTGTGGATTCAAAGCAGTCCTGAAGTGTGAAGATGGCCTCCTCACTCCATTGATAGACTGATCTGAGAACTGGTTTTGCCTGTTTAAGTCTTTGTTTGTATGCAGGCAGGAGAAGAATAGAGGTGTGATCAGCTTTGCCAAAGGCAGGGCGGGGGAGGGGTTTGTAACTGTCCTTGATTGCGGTGTAGCAGTGGTCAAGAGTCTGTTCTCCTCGGGTGGGAAATTTAATGTGCTGGTAGTATTTGGGCAGAACCTTCAAGTTTGCCCTGTTAAAATCCCCAACCACGAAAAAAACAGCCTCAGGGTGAATATTCTCAAATCCATTAATGGTCTCGTACAAAACTTCCAAAGCATGTGACTTATCACACTAGCCTTATTAGCCAGGCTAGTGTGTCCATTCACATCGCCTGCGGTGTGCCTCTGACACATGTATGAGACAAATGACTTGAGAAATTCAGATGTGAAACATTCATTTTTGCAGAGACAGAGAAGCTGCTGTGTGCTTATATGAACACACCACAGGTCTATCTATATAATGTTCAGTATATAATCCAGTGAGTAAATGCCATTCTGTCAAGCTTAGTATTATTGTTTGTGACACAGAAGACAGCTAGTTGGGTTAGATAAAGTTAGTATTGCTAAGGGCACTCTGTATCGGCCGGTACTTAAAGATCAGGTATCGGTATCAGTATCTGTATCAGAAGGAAAAAAATGGTGTTGATGCTTCACTAGTTTCAGTGTTTTGTTGGTCACAGCTTTAGGGTGGATGGTGTGACTAAATATGGCCCCAGAGATTTTCTCATTTTTGTGTTCGTAAGAGCCTGTTGATATCTTACTTATTGATGGTGAGATGAACAGGGGGTGGAAATGAGAGATACAGGGTGGGAAAAAAGAACAGTGGACTGGGAGAAAGAAGCTGGAGATTTCAGGTCATTCCTGAGCTGGCAGGTGTTTTTGGAATTGGGCCAGGTGTCCAGTCAGAGCACACTGAGCTCATCAGGAGGCAGGGCTTAAAGACACAGGAGCGCTAACAGAGCATTTCAGAGAGAGGGTAAATAGAGATGTGCAGTATGTGAAAAATGGTGTATTTTTGAAACATTGAAGCATGTAAATCTAGTCGACCCCAAAAATAAAATTATGAACATTGAAAATGAGCATAATAGGCCCCCTTTAAAATCTGATAGATTGTACTGATTAAGCTGTTTTAAGGTGCATTGCACTCATTTACACTACCAAGTAGTTAATTCTAAGTAGTTTACTCAGTATGGTACCGGATTACGTATCAGTGGCCACTAAAAAATGGTTCCTCGGTCTAAAAAAAGGTATCGACTTGTCACTATTTCTAAATCTAGCATTTTTTCACTGTTTGGTTAAAAATAATTAGAACAGCATTATCAATTATCAGTCAAATCACAGTTCCTTAAATGCCCATTGTTCGAATCTAGAATGGCTGGCTAGAAATCTGGGTTGCCAGCAATCAGAGTGAAAATAGAAGTTAATTTAGGTCTCCTTTCGATGCATTGCACTGTTCTCCAAGCTTTAATTGTATCATCTGTTTTTGGGTCATTGCAGTGCTCCTCGACAGCCTTTAGGGTACAGAAGAAGAGTGAATTTCTAAGATGATGCCTTCTCCAAATTTAGACATCCACTGCCTGCTGCTGACTTATTTTAATTATTTATTATGCACCCTTTTAAGATTAATTTGATGAATAACAGCTTTTAACTATGCAAGGTAAAGGCCTTGTAGATGTTTTAATACAGCTTTAGAGGTTTAGGAGGTTGGGCTGTAAGAATAATGTCATAGAGATGTCTTTTTTTATTATTAAAGAAAAGGAACAAAATATTGGCATATGACCATCATTCACAGTATAGCTGAGCATAATATAAAATATAATCAAAGAACAGGAATTGAAAAATAAAATTGGAATTTAATCAACTAATAAAGAAAAATAGAAACAACAATAAGATAAGAATTCAAGTTGAATACAAGTGTTAATGAATAATAAGTTTAAAATGGTCAAGTGACACCAGTCAGTGTAGGTTTAGAGTATCCTGTAATTAATTCCAGCTCACTAATGCACTGTAGCTAAAAGATTTTCATGGTTCAGTAAAACTAGAACAAGTATAATAATTTCCATTAATTACCAAGAGTGTAAATGTAATATAAGATGGCATATGGCTGGAGAATGCCTTATAAAAAAAACAGAAGCCAGGGTGTTTCCTGTCATACTACATACTACTGTAGCCAGCTATCCTTTTCATACAGTGTGCAATGATGAGTTTCTGAGAGTCACTAGTGTTGAATCTCAAAGCTGGTTGATAGATTGAATGTAAAGTTTTGAGGCAAATCCTTTTCCTTTTATGCATTGGGAAACATATTTTGAATCAGCAATCTGACCTAATTTATTAACTATCTTACTAATATAATATTTACATATACATTTACTGTCCATCCATATGCCATGGTCCTTGCGTTCATTGCTGGATTTCGACAGGATAGTGGTATTTAAAGTGTTAAAATCAATATCGGAAGACGGCATGAATATAATTTTCTTTGCATTTAAAACTAATTTGTTTTCCATCCTTCTCTCTACCGTAGATGGCTCCATCAGCTCAAGCTCCATCTTGCTTGCCCAGTCAGTGCTCCACAACCTGCAAGGCCAGAGCTGTTCCCCAACTGAGCTCTTCTACCAGGGTAATGCACAGACCATCCGTGAGTGGCTGACCGTGGCCATCAGCAGAGCCCTGCACCAGGGAGAGGATGGCTTGTTGGAGCTCACCAAACAGATCTGCTGCTTCCTCCAGGTACTAAACTTTCAATTTCCCCATTCATTTAATTGCGCACTGTGAGGTTCTCTATCTGAGGTCTTGTAACATAAGTCAAGTAAAAGTTCTCGTACATGAAGTAATGGTTGCTGTTTTCCGTTTTTTTGCGTGCTTGAACCCTATTGGAATTGTCAAGATTTTTAGGGTCCAAGCACGCAGTGCGTGGGACCGTATTGTTTTTGCTCTGATTTTTCTTCTTCTTATTAGGGTTCAAGCACGCAGTGCGTAGAACCCTATTGAAATTGTCAAGATTTTTCTTATTATTAGGGTTCAAGCATGCAGTGCATTGAACCCTATTGGAATTGTCAAAGTTTTTTAGGGTTCAAGCATGCAATGCATTGAACCCTATTGTAATTGTCAAGATTTTTAGGGTTCAAGCATGCAATGCATTGAACCCTATTGTAATTGTCAAGATTTTTCTTCCTATTCTTTTTCTTCCCTGAAACGGAACGCACAGCCCAAACCGTAAGTCCTAGAGACTTGAAACTTGGTCAATAGGTAGTAGTCCCTCCCGCTACTCAGGCGCAAGGAATCAGTCAGACAAGCCATATTTTTTTCCTAGTTCCTTGGGTCCAACCAAACAACTTCGCCATTTGGACCGTTTAGCTCCGCCCACTTAGTTTTTGAGCTAATTTGCATAATATGCGAAAACTACTTTTGCGAACTAGTCCTACAATTTTCACCCAATCCCCATGTAATTGGTGTCAAAAAATTCAGAAGAGCCTGAAGGTCAATAATTATCAAAAACATTTTGACTTTTCTAAACAACATGGCTGCCATATGCAAATGAACCCTTCTGGATAACCCTTCTCGACAACCCTTCAGCCAAAAAATTTCAAACTTGACAGACAAATTTGGGAGAAGATTCTGAGATAGCCGTTCAATTTTTGTGCGCATATGTCATTAGGGGGCGGAGTTAATGCTACATGGCTGTTTCTCAGCATCCGTACATCCGATCAGGCTGAAACTTTCCAGATACCATCTGGTGGCCAGACTATAAGTGAATCCATAAGGACAATTTGATTAATTGAAGTATATGGTTGCCATCAGCCAATCAGCATTTAGCAGGCTTTTGACAGGCTTACCATTGACCAATCATCATGAAACTTGAATGATCTCTACATATAGCCACTTTCTAACAACCAATCAAGTTTGAAAAAATTTGACCACTGTGGGGGCGCTATTCATAAAAATTAACATTGTTACATATTATTACTATTTTATTACAAGTTTGCTTGAAAATCCTTGTGTATTATATGTAGTACGTTATTCCAAACAATTTTGCAAATGCATATTACAAAACTGCATAGTTTTTTTGTAATCTGTAACTGTTTAAAAAGCCTACTTTTTGAACTCGTCCCTGGATTTTGATCCAATCTTTTCAAAGTTGGTCTGGAAAAATTCTTTGGCATCTCTAGGTAAATAATTATCAAAAACATGTTGACTTTTCTACTCAGGGTCGTGTGGATCAATCAATTAATTACTGCGACCATGGCATTGTTAGCTTGATTAGCTATAACTCAACAGTCATTGGTCAGATCATGTCCAACCTTTAAGGACCTTTACATATTCGTACTGTAATGGTGTTTGCCAATTTTGGTCCAGATTGGCCTTTAGGGGGCGCTTTAGCACTCAAAAACACTGAACAATCAATTAAAATGCTATTACAATGTTATTACAAGGTCGACATATAAACAGTTGGTGCCATGTGACTCAGTTCACTGACATGAACAACTTTCTAAGTACATGTTCTGTCACAAACTGTACTGTTTGTCTGGTATTTTGGCTTATTCATTCGAAGACTACATTGTACGAAGGCTTATTATACAAAGGTCAGTCTGACCAAAACTTGAACATCTTTGGATATAGTCCCTGATTAAGAATCATACCATTTGTGTCCTTTTCACTAATTCTGACCCACTTTCACTGAGCTCATACTTTACTTTAGTCCTATGTTTCAACTTTTCATCTTTTTCAACTTTACTCATATTTTTACCTGTAACTTTTGATCAGAGTGAGATAGAGACAAAATCTTTTTTTCTGCTGATTCCTGGGGACTTGCTGAACAAGTGCATCCCAGTCACTTTTAGCCCCACCCTCTTAGTTTTTGAGCTAAATTGCATAATGTGAAAAACCTATTCTTGCGAACTAGTTGCAGGATTTTTTGCCAATTTTCATCAAATTAGTACCATAAGGTTCAGAAGACACTAATCCTCAATAATTATCAAAAACATTTTGACTGTTCCACTGTATTGAGGATCAATCAATTAATTACTGCAAACATGCCATTGCTAGTTTGATTTGTCATAACTCAACAGTCATTGGTCAGATCATCTCCAAACTTTAAGGACATTTACATATTTAGACTTCAATGGTGTTTGCCAATTTTGGTCCAGATTGGCCTTTAGGGGGCGCTTCAGCAAAATCCAAAAAATCAATTAAAATGCTATTACAATGTTATTACAAGGTTGACATATCAACAATTGGTGCCATGTGACTCAGTTCACTCACTTGAACAACTTTCTAATTACATGTTATGTCAAAAATTGCACTGCTTGTCTTTTATTTTGGCTTATTCATTCAAAGATTTCACTATACAAAGACTTATTATAGAAAGGTCAAAAGGTCATTCTGACCAAAACTTGGTGAACGTCTTTGGATATGGTCCCTGATCAAGAATGATACCATACTGTGGCCTTTTCACTAATTCTGACCCACTTTCACTGAGTTCCTTACACCAATAGGGCCTCTTATGAGTGCATTGGGCCTCATTATGGCCTACATCAAATCAATGGCTTAAACCAATCCACTGTGCAAGTGCTACTATGTGTGAAATGCTGCCATTAGTCATGTAGTTTTGACATGTATGTTGACAAACTCTTGGATGTTCTACAAACCAGTGTAGATGAGTACATATGAATATAAACCTATAATGTGTTTAAAGACCTCTGATCGTTGTTTATGGCAACTTGAGGCCTTTTAGGCCTAATGGGCTAAACGAAAAGCTTGAGGCCTTTTTAGGCCTAAGGGGCTAAACCTGCAGAAGGGCCCGTACTGCTGTTGCGTGCTTGAACCCGCTCATTGCCGCTTGCGGCTATATTTTTTAATTGAAATTGTGATGTGATGTGAATGTGTAAAAACATTGTTACTTACATTTTTGCATGGTTGAAAATCAAGAATGCCCCAGAGCAGTTTACATCAGAGGAGTTCCCTGTCTCTGAGTCGAAGGTCAGCATGGATGTCAACTTCCCCAGTGCCACATTTGTGGTTGTCTCTTGTAAAGAGAGCCAGCTAGGTTGCCGGAAAGAGTGAGTTCTCACAATTACTTTCTTTTGAACTTTGAAACCAGCAAGTCATTGACTCTATCCTGTAAAATGGGGTGAGTCGATATTAAATATCAAATAATATTATTAAATAATATTAAGTGCTGTTATTGAAATGTCTTATTGAAATTCTTTTATCACTGTGTGTTTTTCACGATTTCCTGTCCTTCAGCTCCTCTCTGTATAAGGCTCCTTGGGCTCGGGTCATGGTGTATGGGTTGGGGCACAAGGTGCGACGTAATGGTCAGCTTAATCTGATGGAGGCTGTATGTTACCCTCTGGATGCTTCCCCCTCTAATACTGGCCTGACACCACCTCCTACAACCAACCAGTACCCTACCATTATCATGCCCACGGACAAAGTTCACATCAAACTAGGTATGTTGCAATGTGACATTTTACATCAATTAATATATGTGGGTCATCGTAGTTACACTTACTGTACAAATGAGAAAAAAAATGCATTTCTGTCCACATTGATATATTGTAGGGGAAGATGGTGTAAGGCCTAACCAGCATAAACTGGTAAAAAAATAGCCCAAGACTATGAAGTTTCCATCTCTGCAGTTTACAGTACCCTTAGTGCAGTCTGATTGGAATTCTTTTCCAGACTTTTTCCACACAAAGGGTTTGTCATCAGTTTAATGTTGCTGTAGAAGTGATTTCCTCTGAGAATTTTTTTTCTTTAGATTTTTAAAGTAGCCTAAAGAACTTTAAGTTTACAAATGGTTGGAGTGCTCATACACTTTATGTAGACACCGTAAGGCAAGCACATTTCACAGTAAAATGGAAGCATCTACTTTGTATAACAAAAAATGTTAATTAAATAATTCTTGATAATATAGTAAATGAATTATAATAGGTATTATAATCACAGCAACAGTGATAATAAAAACAAAATAAACAATACAGTTCTATTCAGTGTTTAATCAATCAGTGTGGCTGATTAAAAAGTGAAAATGATTGGTGCACATGATTAAAAAATTAGGTATTGGTTTAACTATGCCAGCCTCAAAAATCCATACAAACTTACTTTTAGCCTAATTGCTCATGGTATGGCAGATTTTTAGGCTTTATGCAAATAAAGAGAAGTTTACCAAGTGGTGGCTGATCAAGATGCTAATGTATGGTGCAGTATGCATTCTTCACCATTTGTCACCCCTAAAGTTAAGCTACACACTGAAATCAGTGTTGAGAGGATTCAATATGAGGTTTCGATATTAGAATATACAACCCCATTTCCAAAAAAGTTGGGACGCTGTGCAGAATGTAGATAAAAACAAAATGCAGTGATTTGCAAATCACTTAAACCATATATTTCATTGACAATAGTGCAAAAACAATATATCAAATGTTGAAACTGAGAAATTTTATTGTTTTTTGAAAAATATATGCCCATTTTCAATTTGATGCCAACTACACATTCCAAAAAAGTGGGGACAGAGGCAACAAAAGGCTGGTGAAGTTGTGTAATGGTAAAAAAAACGCCTGGTGTTTGATTGGCAACGGGACAGTAACATTACTGGGCAGAAAAACAGCGTCCCAGAGAGGCTAAGTCTTTCACAAGCAAAGATGAGGAGGGGTTCACCACTTGATGAAAGACTGCATGAGCAAGTAGTGCAACTATTCAAGAATAACGTTTCTCAACATAAAACAGCAAAGAACGTTTTGCTTTTCATCATCTACGGTACATAATAATATTAAAAGATTTAGAAAATCCAGGGAAATCTCTGTATGCAAGGGACAAGGCCAAAAACCAGTGTTTGCTGGCCATGGTCTTTGGGCCCTCAGATGGCACTGCATTAAAAATAGACATGATTCTGTAGTGGACATCGTTGCGTAGGCTCAGGAACACTTCTGAAAACAGTTTGTTGCTGCATCCACAAATGCAAGTTAAAACACTAAAACGCAAAGTAGAAACCATATATAAACAGGATGCAGAAATGCTGCCACCTTCTCTGGGCTCAAGCTCATTTAAAATGGACTGAGGCAAAGAGAAAAAGTGTCCTGTGGTCAGCTTTTTATCTGTGTTCAGTTCAGAAGCCAGTATCCATGATGGTATAGGGGTGCATTAGTGCACATGGCATGGGTGACTGGCACATCTGTGAAGGCACCATTAATGCTGAATGATATATACATGTTTTGGCAACATATGCTGCCATCCAGATTTTTCAGGGAAGGCCTTGCTTATTTCAGCAAGTCAATGCCAAACTACATTGTGCACATATTACAACAGCATTGCTCCGTATTAGAAGATCTGTCACCACTGAAAACATTTGGCGCATTATTAAATGAAAAACATGACAAATGAGACCCCAAACTGTTGAGCGGCTGAAATCCTATATCAAACAAGAATGGGAAAACATTTCACTTTCAAAAGTACAGCAGTTGGTCTCCTCAGAACGTGTTGTTGGCATCAAATTCAAAATTTCTCAGCTTCAACATTTGACATGTTGTCTTTGTAGTATTTTCCTTTAAAATATGCAAATCATGTAAATCATGATTTGCATATCATTGCATCTTATTTTTATTTACATTCTGCACAGCATCCCACCTTTTTTGGAAATGAGGTTGTACGTATATTGGGCAGGAGATAATTACAATGAGTGAAAAAAAATATATATATATTCAGATTGCATTCTAACTCTCTCTGGGTGAATAGGATGGCCCTCCTTCTCACCCCATCATCAGCTGACATAACAGAACTGGGAGTAAGCTCTCCCCTTCAAGCGCGTTAAGCTGTCCAGTGTTGTTGCATGTGCAATGCTTTGATAAGACGTGGAGGCTGACTTCACGTGACTCAGAAGAAAACACTACAAGCCTTCACACTGCAAGCACTGGTAGTGTCCTGTGATTGGGTTGACATAGCTAGTGGGTGGAATTGGGGAGAAAATTGGGCAAAATGGCCAAAAAAAAAAAATCAGCGTTCTACGGTACAAGCAAAATTCTCCCATTTACTCATTTTTTTAAAAATACTACCAGAATTTAGATTTTTGCACCCATGCAAGATACAGGTTTGGAACCAAACTTAATTGTGCACAAAAACAAAACTGCAGAATTCTCACTGATTTGTGTCTCAGTGGCCTCAAGTGCTACTATATGTATACTTGTATGGGACATGACAAGAAAATTAGCCTATTGGCTTATCGTTCATAACCTAAATGACCTGCTAATTAACTAACCTGCATAGCTGTCAAATCTTTAGTTAAAAGACTGACATCTTTTACCTCTGCTGTGATCTTGCTGCGTGAATGTAAATCTTATGGGTTTTAAAATGTTGTTTGTTGTACTGTAGTATCACAGAAACAGGGCTCACTGCCTAGCTTTGTCAACCAATATGACTCCATCAAATTAATATTAAACAGGCTAACAAAACTGCTGAGCAAAAAAAATGTTTCTAAATGGTGTGTTTAATTTGATTGCATTGAGAAGTTAAAACTAGTGGAAATGTGTTTTTATAAGCATAGTGTAAAGATTGCAGCGTCAGTTTGCAATTAAAATGCGGTGGAAAGCAACCTGCACACTCACACAAGTGATGGGCATTCTGGCTCCTTGAAGTAAGTCAGATCCATTAGATCTGTTCACCAAGAATAACCAGCTCTTTCAGTTCCACAAGTGCTCCTCATTCAGTTATTGAACCACCATTTTAGTCATTTCTGGCTGTAACATCTTAATAGTTTTACGATGATTGAAATACTGTTTATAAAACAATGCAATATCTAAACTGATTTTTTTTATTAAATGGTAGATATTGTTAACTAATTTTGGAATTCAAGTCTTTGTGTACATTCTAAAAAAATGTGTTATTTTTTAAAATAGTTCCAGTCAGAAATGGATGTAAATTGAATAATTAAAATTCTGTTAATAAATGTAAAAAATGAACATGAAAGTGTTTTTTGAATATTGTTGTTGAATGTTTTTGTTATGAAATGGCTGTTTCCTCAAACTTTTCTGGCAGAATATATACCTGTTTTGCTTTTTTTAAGCTATATTTGCTTACAGCTGAACATCAGTAGTTCAGATTTCTGCTGGTCTCTCCTCATAGGCGTGTCTCCCACTCCTGGGGCAGTGTTGGTACTGCATTCTTTGCCTCTAGAGTTTCCCCTGGCCATGGCCTTTGCTGAACAGTTATTGACCTGGACCCTAGGTGACAGCAGTGAGCACTCTGAGGAAGAGCTGGACACTGTTCCTTCTTCAGTGCTTCTGCAGGTCGTGGAGCTACTGGGTAAGAAATGATCATTTATCTGACTTGTTTTCTTACCTCTGAATTTTAGTATCAGTGTTCTTTTCGTATCTGATACCTTTAAATATAACTTCCATTTTACCTCTATAATAGGTCACAAATTCGTACCTGTTTTTATTGATCGGTTACCTTATTCATCCATCTTCCATAAGGTGGGCTTCTGTGGACCACTGATCTTGCACCTTGTATCAAGGAGCTGATTTTCCACCTGCTGGCTGAGCTTTTCCGCAAGATTCATCACTTGGAACAGCGCAAAGGCCCTTCAGGTCTATCCAGCTCCATTGCACTGCTTCTCAACCCATGCCTGGCAGTGCTCATGGCACTCCAGACAGAACTCAGAAAACTTTACGACCGTGAGACCCAGAGCTGGGGGCTAGCTAGTGGAAGCTCCTGTACTTCAGGGAGCAGTGGCTCTTTGGCACTAGCTGCTGAGCAAAGCCGCTTCTCCACATACTTCCATGCCCTCATGGAGGTATGCCTAGCTGTAGCAGAAGTCACTTTGCCACTCAACATGGGAAGTGGAACGACAGCTGTGGGAGCTCTTTCATCATCCAGCGCACCCAACCTTAGCGATTCCTCATCTTCATCATCATCTTCACCAGGCCAGACTCCCCAAAGCCCAAGCTTACTGTCTAAGCGCAAGAAGGTGAAACTTAAGCGTGAGCGAGCTGCAGCATCCGTGTCTGCTGTGGCCGATGCTTCAGGAAAACGGGGCTCTGGAAGTGGCACAAGACTATCAGAAAGTGATAGTGCCTTACTAAATGTGGCTGGGGGAAAGCCTGAAGATATGCTGTGGTTTCATCGTGGGCTGACATTACTCATGATTATACGACACCTAACAAACAAGGACCCCCAGGGCCTGGGGGTTACTGCGGATGCTGTAGCTGATGCCTGCCAAGCCCTGGTCGGTCCAACTGCTCATGGACGGTTGCTGGTGCTGTCTGGCATTCCGACTCACTTGGAAGAAGCTGTGGTGCGTAACGCAATCCGAAAGGCTTGCAATGCACATGGGGGCCTCTTCAAAGATGAGATCTTCATTCCTGTTCAGGTAGATGACCTTAAGAAGACAAAAGGACCTGTGGTCAGAACTCCAAGCACTCCCCAAGATGCAAAGGCAGAAAGACCTCATGCAAGCACTATGGACACTATGGACAGTCCAGATAGCTCCAGCAGTGCCACCCCAGCTGTAAGCATGAGTGCTTCAGCCTCAACTAGCCAGACCTCCATCTGCAGCTCCTCTCAGGGGGTATCTAGAACTGCCAGTGAGCTCTCTGTGGACCAGGAGCTTTTGGCAGGCACAGTAACCCCACAAGCAGCCCTTACCCAACCACAAGGACCTCTTGACCCCCACACAGTGTCTAGTCAGGAAAGCCTTGATATCTCCCTTTGTAGCACAGGAAGCCTTGGTAGTCTTGGTAGCCTTGGTGAGCAGCCTGATAGTGGAGAGACAGCCTCATTGTCAGATGGAGGATCCTTATACACAGTCACCTCACTAGACAACAATGCCAGCATGGCACGACCCATTAAGGGTTATGCTGTTATAGAGGTAGGTGAAGATAAACCAGTATGGATGGATGCCATTTTGGTAACTGTCAACTGGAAGATGACTAGACTTTTGCTTACAGGTACGGGCCAGGGCCAAAGTGGAGAAGATTCGTGCCAGTCTCTTCAACAGCAGTGATCTGATTGGCCTGTCCAGCCTTGAAGGTGAGGAGGAGCTAATGGAGATGACGAATGAAGAGATCCTGACTGCCTCCAGTGTTAACCAGAGCCTGTTTGACACACAAGGCAGCTCTGCACTTGAGGACTACTTCCTTGATAAAACTATCAGAGGTTAGAATTTTTATATTTGTTTTTTGCCTTTTTTTTTGCTTTAAAATATCTTAGTCAGGAACAATGTACACAGTAGTACTGACAGCACAAAGCAGTGATATCTCTCTAATGACAACCTATTAATGACATCTTTACAGCAGACACCTTAATGTTCAATATATCCAGTATGTTCTTGCAAGTTAATCTGTTTAAATTTTGTACAGACCACCTTTTATACTGTAGAGACTCGTCCTTTAGACTTCTACCTTGCATGTGATGATCTTACAGGAGACAAGCTGGTTCCTGGGGCACGGGATGTGCTCACAGACATATTTAAAAGTTGCATACACTCTGAGCAGATGCTAAGCCTTACACCTACCAAGCCAGTGAAAGCATCTGATATTTATCTCAGCAAAGAACAGATCAACTCACAGACACCAGGCAACCTGTTGCATGTTTTCTTCAACCACGTACGACCTCCGAAAAAAGTACTTGAGGATCAACTCACACAGGTTAGTGCTCACATATATGCTTACAAATATGTAAAGATCGGTATACATTCACTGACCAGTTTATCACATCCATGTTGTGTTTACCCTCATTGTCCATTTTTGCTTGTCCATGTTAAAGGTGTACTTTGTAGTTACAGATAAGATTATAATCTATCTGTTACTATGCATAATTTGCCCCTCTTTACCCCATTCAGCAATGATCAGGACCTCCACAGGACCACCACTGAGCAGGTATTATTTGGGTCATTGGCCATTTTCAACATAGCAGTGACACTGACATGTGGCATGTTAGTGGGTGTGAGTGCTGCACAGAGTAGATCACACAAGGCAGTACTCCTTTTTTAACAACTCTCATTAGTGGGCTGAGAATAGTCTGCCAACCACAAATATACAGCCAACAACATTTTGAGGCAAAAAAACAACCACTAATGAGGGACTTGAGGATGACTAAAATAAAGTGAGCATCAACAGATGAGCTGTCCTGTCTAACTTTCCATCTACAAAGTGGACCAACAAGGTGGGTGTGTCTAATACAGTAGACAGTGTGGTAAAAAAATAAATAAATAAATAAAACAGAAAACAGTAAAATATGTGTAGAAAAACACAGGGGAGAGCTGGGGAGAAGCTCCTGGCAGATACCCAGAGGTCTCCAAAGTCTGACCAGAATTACAAGAAGTTATGTATTCCCCAAGTGGGGTGTTGTTACATTGCATTTGCATTGGTTAACAGAGAACAAGAGTTATATTCATTAGTTACACCTAATTGTGATATGAATAAACAAGAGATTTTTAACATATATGCCTAAATAATGACAAGGAAGGAAACTTGTGTATGGTCAGCAAAGTCTTCACAATCTCGTCTCTTCCAGATAAACTAGCCTGTAACTTCAAGGCCACTTAAACAGTGATTCACTGGAGCTAGCTAGGCTTCAGGAGAGGAAAGCAGGAGATAAGAAAGACCTAGAAATAGAATATGTGGAGTTGCTGATTTGTTATCTTCCTTGCACCCAAAGAACAGTGACAGTTCACCCTCAATTTACAAGTAACACCTATAACATATAAAGCATGCATATATCATGAGGATACGAGTAGTGTGACTGGCTATAAGAATTTCATGTACCATAAGTGAAATTACTGGTTACATATATCATAGGTGAAATTATTGGTTACATAACCACAATACTAAGTGTGTACAATGTTTTTTTAAAAACTGTCAACACACTAAAATGCCACTACCATTTCAGTGCTGCTGTAGTGCTGAGAATAATCCACTGCCCAAATAACACCCACACCATGGCGGCCATGTGGGGGTCCTCACCACTGATGAATAGAGTAGAGGGGAACAAACAGATTATGCTGAGAAACACATGGACTACAATATGTAATTGCAGAACTACATGGACAGTGAATGTAGATGGGTATACCTAGTGAAGTGGCCAGTGAGTGTATTTGGGGCTACCTTGTATGATGATCCCTAGACTCCCTAGCCTTTGGAGTTTCAACTAGTGCTGTTTTTTCTTATCTGTTCTGCATTCATGCACTTAAAACAAATCATTGAATGTCTGTCTATGGCCTGCTTACTGTTAAAGAACAATAACAATACTGTTTGTGCCAACGTAATTTCTGTCTACAGATTCTTCGTAAATATGGCACAGTAAAACCCAGCAAATGCAAATACAGCAAGGCAGGCAAGGAGCAGCACCAGGGCAAAGTGGTCAGCACCAAGAGACCTATTAACAAGCCCCCCATGAAAGAGAAGTCTGTGCTCAACAGTGTCCGGTGAGTCGTTGTTCCTGCAAATTTGTTAAAAACACTGAAATTTTGGGATGTGCATTCATCCAACTTAAAAGTGCTTAGTTAGTGAAATTACGTGATGAGAGACACTTCCACAACTATTCTGGCTTAGACATCATGTGTTGCATAACTTCCGTATGTTTTTTTTTTCTCGAAGTAGGCACTGAAACTAAATCAGGAAGCACTGTCATCAGACATACAATTACAACCCCATTTTAAAAAAAGTTGGGACACTTTGCAAAATGTAAATTAAAAACAAAGTGCAATGATGTGCAAACCATATAAACTCTATGTTTAATTGAAAATAGTACAAAGACAATATATCAAATGTTGAAACTGAGAAATATTATTGTTTTTTGAAAAATATAAGCCTATTTTGAATTTGATACCAACAATATGTTCCAAAAAAGTTGGGACGGGGCAACAAAAGGCTCTTAAAGTTGTGTAATGCTAAAAAAAAACACCTGGTGGTTGATTGGCAACGGGACAGTAACATTACTGGGCATAAAAACAGCGTCCCAGAGAGGCTGAGTCTTTCACAAGTAAAGATGAGGAGGGGTTCACCACTCGATGAAACGTTTCTCAACATAAAACAGCAAAGAACGTTTTGCTTTTCATCACCTACGGTACATAATAATATTAAAAGATTTAGAAAATCCAGGGAAATTTCTGTATGCAAGGGACAAGGCCAAAAACCAGTATTTGCTGGCCATGGTCTTTGTGCCCTCAGATGGCACTGCATTAAAAATAGACATGATTCTGAAGTGGAAATCACTGCATGGGCTCAGGGACACTTCTGAAAACCTCTGTTTGTGAAAACCACTCGGCACTTCATTCACAAATACAAGTTAAAACGCAAAGAAGAAATCATATATAAACAGGACCCAGAAATGCCGCCACCTTCTCTGGGCCTGAGCCCATTTAAAATGGACTGAGCATAAGCTGAAAAGTGTCCTGTGGTCTGACAAATCAACATTTGAAATTAATTTTGGAAATCATGGATGCTGTGTCCTCTGGGCTAATGACCACTCAGCTTGTTATCAGTGCCAGTATTCATGATGGTATAGGGGTACATTAGTGCACATGGCTTGAGTGATCATCTGTGAAGGCACCACTAATGCTGAACGAGATATACATGTTTTGGCAACATATGCTGCCATCCAGATGACATCTTTTTCAAGGAAGGCCTTGCTTATTTCAGCAAGACAATGCCAAACCACATTGTGCACGTATTACAACAGCATTGCTCTGTATCAAAAGAGTCTGGGTGCTAAACTGGTCTGCCTGCAGTCCAGACCTGTCACCACTGAAAACATTTGGCACATTATGAAGTAAAATTATGACAAAGAAGACCCTGAACTGTTGAGCAACTGAAATCCTATATCAAGCAAGAATGGAAAACATTTAAAAGGACTTACAGCAACTGGCCTCCTCAGTTCCCAAACGCTTACAGAGTGTTGTTAAAACAAAAGGTGATTAAACACAGTAGTAAACATGCCCCTGTCCTAACTTTTTTGGAATGTGTTGTTGGCATCAAATTCAAAATTGGCTTATATTTTTCAAAAAACAATAACATTTCTCAGTTTCGAAATTTGATATGTTGTCTTTATAGTATTTTCCTTTAAAAACTTGTTTTACATGATTATTTGTATATCATTGCATTCTATTTTTATTTACATTCTGCACAGTGTCTCAACTTTTTTTAAAATGGGGTTGTAAGTTGAGATGGCTCAGTCTGTTCTGGAGGTTCAGAATCTAAATTGATCCAGGAATATTTATTATATATATTATTCTCAGCCGCATGTTACTGCATGTCAGTGTTTAAACCTGTTACTTCATTTCCATTTTTCAGTATTTTTCAGCCAAATGACAAAAGGTATACAGACCTACAGAACGCTTTAATTGTTTTAAAAATAAACATGTTAATTTTTAATGATCTCTCAAATTATACACACTTGAATACAAAATACAGTTGTGGATACATGATTGCATTAGCACTTTCTAATTGCTATTTGAATTTGAATAAAGAAGATTTAAAATAAATACCAAACCAGCCAATCTATAAAAATGTCAGATTCCTGCCTATTCATGAATCTAATGTCTGACATCTTTCTTTTGTTAAATCTGTACAAGACATCGGTCTGGAATGTCGAATTTCTCTATTTCTCTATCTTCCTCCAAGATGCTTACAGATAACAGTCAATGCCATCATGCCAGGAGAGCTCAGTTTTACATACCTTACAGGAAATTGTGTTTTTGGATTACTGTGCTGCTCAAAAAGGATCCTCACTCAGTCTGTCATCATGATATTTTAAGCTTTTACAGAATTCCTTTGACAACATGATACATGAACATGACAACAGGATACAGGAACATGACATCTCTTGTGTCATGGACATCACAAACACAGAATTTAACCAGACTATGTGAAGAAACAGATTCATTGAAAAACTAAAAATTGCAGATTCCTGAGGTCCATCCACTTCTTGAGAAGTTGAATAATCTGGAAGACCAGATTGCAGTTGAAGAGCCATTTGTCTGTTTATGAGATAAATTAGAAACATATTCAATATTCAGTAGGCATGGTTGCGAACATTTCCTAAAACTAAAGCTCTTTTGGTTTTAATTTAAAGTTTGAAGTCTTCAGTGTTATCTGGATTGTATGATAGGAGCTACACATGACTGAATGAGTGAGGGTCTTGGCTTGGTAGTCAAAGCTCATGTCCTAGCTAGATGTCGATAGGATTGACATAACCTATTCATCAGTCTTTGGTGAATAAAATTAAAATACGAAGCTACTTATACTGCAGTACAAAAAAACTCCAGGACAACTCATGACTTGTGTGATAATTTGAAATACAGAATTGAATTCTGGTCTAAGATGTATGGGTGGCAGTACTGTCAATTCTGTCAACCTTTCATTACATCAGATGTGGCTGTTTAGTCACCGTTTAAGACATGACTGTTAAAACGTTACATGTATCTTATTCATTTTATAATTGTTGCTCTTTGTAGATGGGTAAAGATTCACATATAGTAACTGCTTGATAACATAAGGGCTTGTAAAATGATGCTTGAGATGAAAGCCAGGGAGTTGCAGAGCGTTGTCCGGAACAGATTCAGATTCAAGCTTCAGTGCAGCAGAAAGAGAAAAGTTAGCCCTCCTAAGGACAAACAACTCATCCATTTTGTTTCCAAGTGGCAGACCATATAGCAGTTCTCTCAAAGAAAAGTTTTTTAGTTGTTGTTCTCCCTGTGTTTTCCTCCAAAATTCATGTTTTCGTTGTTTTACATGACCTCAACAAAACTAATCTCACTCACAAATTATCCAGATGCAGATAACGCGTTGCTTGCTCCAGGAAGCAGTAACACACTAGATCACTATTATACTGTTTTAAAGGTGGCATTTCACTCTGTTCCCCATACAGCCTTGGGCCTCCTTATCACTGCCTAGTTCATCTTTTCCCAACCTACAGGCAAAAGCTAAAGTCTGTCAAACTTGTGATCAGTCCAAAAAGCAATCCCCTTGTGTATATATATGTGGATATATATTACTGCAGGTTTGAAAAACTCAAATCTCAGGATCAAATACCTCTCTCTAATTCACACCCTGCGCAAATCATAGCACTGATAACACCCATTCCCCCAACTATGACTGCTACCCAGCCAGTCACCTTGCCTGCACTCAAGATTTGTGAAGACAAATGAAAAAAAAACAACAAAGTTTTTTCCACGCATCAACAAAGAAAGTGAAGACAAAAGTCTAGTTAATTAAAATAAAAACAATTTAAAATAGCACAGCTACATTATAACACAGAAAATACAGATGACGGAGACTACAAGTACAAACACACAAACCGACTGACTCTATACTGTAAAAAAATAATAGTAATAATTGTGCAATATGTATAGATGCATAAACAAAGTGGCAGTGCATAGTAAAATGACTAGAGAGATGTAGTAATGTCCAGCTGCTGTATGTATATATATATATATATATATATATATATATATATATATATATATATGTGTATGTGTGTGTGTGTGTGTGTGTGTGTGTGTGTGTGTGTGTGTGTGTGTAAGTAGTACAGAGTTGTACACAACGTAAAAATATGGGAAGACCACTTTAAAGTAATCCAAAAACACAATTTCCTGTAAGATATGTAAAACTGAGCTCTCCTGGCATGATGGCATTGACTGTTGTCTGTAAGCATCTTGGAGGAAGAGAGAGAAATAGAGAGGAAGCCACTTGGCAGAACCTTGCAAGTCAAAAATTGCAAGTCATTGTCTGCTTTTCAGCTAACACTGCTTTTTGTTTAGGAAATAGTATTAAAAATCATTTACTGAAGAGATTAACACCTTTTTGAAATAGTTTTTCTAAACTTCTAAATTACACACACCCAGATACCAGGGCTGCTTGTGTGCTAATGCACACAAACATGCTCGTCCGCACATATGGATATTTCTGAATTGCGTTGGGTGGAGATTTTTTTCGGTGTTTTTTAGTGTTTTTATGGGGCTGGTTAAAATGTTTCTGAAAACGCTTTAACCAGCCACATGGTGATTGCTGTTTTACATGTTCTGACATGGCTAATGACCAGGCTGTTTCTTCAGTTTTATTTAGAGTTTCCCCAGCTTTGCTCCCAGTTTTAGTCATTGTCAAAAGTGTTGTTGTTCACTGAGAGAATGTATCCTATCTAGCCAAAAAGAGTTCGAACAACCCTCGATCTAAGACACTGCCAGAAACAAGAGCCAGTGCTGATACCTAGAAAGAAAGATAGAAATTTCAGAATTAAACTATAGCATAAGTGCAGTACAAGACATTTCCATAAGTGCTAGATTAATTTTCATTTAAATATTTCACAAAGAGATGGGTCATCAGTTGGCGTTTGAAGTTGTCTTGAAGAAGGACTCTGTTGTTCAGACAGTCAATGGAAGTTCATACCACCAGTGCCAGAAAGACTTGAAGGATGGCGGGGGGTACT